ATTCCTGAATTCTATGTGCATAAAGAGTGATGAAAAATTAAATAGGATAAAGAATAATTTCTGAAACATAATAAAGAGGGAGAGAAAAAAGAAAAGAAATGTAAGGGTGTTGGCAAACAAAGTCCCAGGGGATAATGAAGGGAGAAGCATTCTTCCTTGAAAACTTTGTGACTTCCCTGTGGAAGATCTCAACATTGTCTCAACGTGCCCTGATGTCACAACCTTTAATACCTCTCATTTCACAGTGTAATTTCATTGTGACAGCTGCTGAAAGCATTATGCCTCCAGCAAAATAACAATAGGATGTTTTATACACTGTATGCCATGAGAAGCCAAGAAACACATGATCCAATGCAAGGCCTTTCTACCATTTGGCCATAGCAACATAACACAGACAATTTGAAGCACAGTGCATTAGCAAACATAAGACTTTAAAACAAATTTATTTGTGTGCAACACGAATGTGTTTTAGGTCCTAGAGTGTTTTCAAAAATTCTAATGGTCTTTAATTTCACACATTGTTAGGTCTGATTAATGGTATTTGGATTGCTCATAGTAATGGTGTTCTTATTTATTAGAAGTAATTGAGAAGATAATTGAGCTCTGCACCATAGTTTCATGTTTTAAATAACAATTTTAATTCTTCCTTTTGTTATATTAGCATATTAAAAATCTTACTAAAATCAAGAGTAAATGAAAGACAATGGAAGAGGTGGCAAAGGCAACCAAAAAGATCTGCTTCCAAACAGATGGGTGTTACCTCAAGAACGGGACCTCTTAGGTAGGCGTGCTGCTCTACAGAGACCTCAACAAAATTGTTTCATCACTGCTGAACTTCAGTGTTCAGGCCTCACCAGCCACAGATCAGAGCCCAGAGTGGGCTCAAATTAAACTGCTTTAGAGCAAGACAGAAGGGAAATTACCATCTTGAGATCAACCTCTCCCTCTTCATGGGCCTTTTCCATTGTACATCTTAAGTTACTACACCATTTTGAAGTTTATTTGAGAGGGAAATGACAAAATTGTGCAGCTGAAGTTGCAAGAGGGTATGACAGCAATGTAAGCATAATCCTGGGCACAGGCAGCTGGATGGAGCACCATTGAAACCATTATTGCCCATCATGCCATGCCAATTCACAGGACAAGATGTACCAGGACATTTTTCATAGATTTAATCTTTATTTATATTTATTTCTGTCAGAGGCTTTTCCTGCCAGAGAAGGGAGCTGGCTGTGTCACAGCCACAGAACACAGGAGGTTCCCATGAGGAAGCTTTGCCTTAGACTTGAGGAAGTCAGATAATCTGGTTTTATTTGAGTAAATTCTCAGCCAGTGTTTCCTTTCAGATCACATTGCTACAGCAGTCTTTAAATGGGTCAAAAAAACTCCCACATAAAATGATGCACCCACACAATTGCATTAACCCATAATAAGCAACATTTTACAAACTAAATTACTATAAAAATGTGTAATGTATTTACAGGTCTTCAAACTGACATTAAATATCATTTTATAAAATCAACTACTGCTTAATAACAATGATCTGTGCACCTTAGATCACTGTTGTCAGTTACCATAAAGGATATTAGAGTTCCACTACTACCAGTTACTCCATTAGTGCCCCTGATAGCTCTAAACACCTCATCTCACAGTAAACTTATATGCCAGCCTGATATCAAAGGATAAAATTTATCTTCTTTTTCTACCTTGAAAACGTTTGACACTGTGCTTTAAAAGCATATTGTGAAGATGTGGTTTTTAGAACTCAAGATACAAACATAAAAGTTTGCAGAAAAGCTGTAACTCAGTCCTGATGGTGATGTTGGGGCAGCAGGAGGATAAATTATATAATACTCAATATACTGCTTTGTCTGCTTTCCTGGGCTGGCCCCTGTCAGCATGGAATGAATCACAGCCTAAAGCCTTATTGGCTGAGACACTGCCATTCTTACCATGCAGGATAAGATGCCAGTGGGAACTGCTCATATCAACACCGTGTTTATTGCACATGCCTCAGAGCTTCCTTAAAGTCAGTAAAGCAGCTTCTTGTTCACTGAGAGATCAGTGCCAACACCAAACTGAAACCTCTGCCTATGAATGGACCAGATGCTGTGCTGCTTTCCCTTGAACCCTGGTAACTCCAGGCTCTACCCCTGGAATGTCCTGCTGGGTACAATTACCTTGAATCTGACAGGAAACACAGCACTTTGCTCTGGGTAGTGCAGGACTAGATAGATAGATAGATAGATAGATAGATAGATAGATAGATAGATAGACAGACAGACAGATAATATTTCAACAGGTAACAAGCTAAAACTGCAGGTTGAGAAATTCACAGAGCACTGGTACTGTTTTTGGTGTGAGACAAAGTTGTACCTTTCTTAAAACAATTAATAATTAATTAACAATAAAGCAGATTCGAAGAAATGAACCCTTGACTGTGTCTGGCTCTTATTTGAATACTATCATGACTGGGTGAGTGAATCCAGTGTGTCCCCCTCTAGTCAATTTTTTAGCACACTCCAACTCTTCTCAACAATTTCATATTCAATATCATCACCTTTGAAATAGGGACCTGCAACTTAGAGGAGAAAAACATCTGCAGACAGTTATCTGTGCAATGCAACATCTTGAGGGATATAAAGCATTCCAGAGAAATCAAGTATGCCCTTCCCAGCTCCAGAAATCCCTGAGGAATGAGCCTTTATATATCTGCCATACCACTCTGGAAATCATTACTCAAGCTAAACAAAATTTAGCTTAAAAAAATAATAATAAAAAAAGTACTTTATTCCAACAGGAATTTAAGGTACAGGTAACTGGCAGGACAAAAGCTCTTACAGCTGGCTGGCACTTTGTCTTAATCTCCAGAGTGTCTGATGCCTCTTCAGTTAAGAGGGACAAATTAGCAGGTGGTAGACTGGAGCCAAACTGACTATGCAAATCCTTACATTCCAGATATGTATCACAGAATAGGCTCCCTTCTCAAGTCACACTTCAGATAAAAGCACAGAAGTGATCACAGCAGCTCAGTGCTTTAACAGTAGCAGTGCCCAAAAGATAAATGTCTTGAGGAAAGCACAGAAACAGAGTGTGTGTAATAAGCCTTCCTTAGCTGCTGTGAGCCTGCATTTCTGCTCTCCCAAGAAAGCCAGCACCAAATCCCACAATAACTTTACTGAAACAGAGCTACCCTTTCAAAGGACAGCCAGTCCAGCCACCTGAGCTGGTGCTGTTTGTGCCATCTCACAGAACCGGGTTAACTCTCTTACAGCAACTGCTTGAAGACAACCAGCTTTGCAAACATGTTCTGATTTTCCTCCCCCAACACAACTTTAAAAGGAGTTGGGTACTACAATTAGAAGGTGAGAACACCACTAGTTTTCCTTGCTTAATTAGATTTTTTTACACTATCTCACAGATTTTACCTGATAGATAAACATGTACCAGACTTACCAATTTTTTGCCCTCCATTAATTATATCCAGCTGTTAAAGGTTGGCACCAGTATTAGTTGGTTTGCCAGACTTACCAATACTTTAACAGCTGGATATAATTAATGGAGGACAAAGGTTAATAGTGATAATTACATGACTAAAGTAAATCAACTCCTTTACAGCTATTTTTAAAACTTTTGCTTTTATTAATTTCCTATTCTGTTTCCAATATAATAATTTACCTCAGTGTCTTAGTTACAATTTTTTTTTTTCTGTACAAACTAACAGATACATAGTTACTCATGGAAAAGTAATTCCCCCCCAGATACATACTGAACTCGCATACCAAGATAGAGGTCAAGAGAAATGCTGGATATTTATGTGCTACACAAACTGCCTCAACTTTAATTTTGCTGTTCTAAAATATCAGCTCACTCACTGCATACAAAAGGTCTGTCTTAAATCAGATTTGAGTATACACTTTGATGGTGCCAACTAAATGCATGATTAGGTACAGAAAAAAACCCACTATCTACTAATATATCGTTTAGTCAGACAGAAACTCTTTGCCTCATATAGAAGTCATAGCACCCAAGAGCTGCAGGCACTATTTTGGTTATTAGTAACATGAACAAAATAATAGACTCTACAATGCCATATTTGGATTTCATAATAATATAAACATTTTCACTGAAAAGGGTAGTTAAGCATTGGAATAGGCTGCCCAGGGAAGTAGTTGAATCACCATTCCTGGTAGTACTCAAAAGATGTGGAGATGTGGCATTTGGTGACATGGTTTAGCCGTGGCCTAGACGGTGCTGAGTTGATGTTTGGACTCGATGACCTTTGAGAACTTTTCCAGCCTGAAGGATTCTGTGATTCTATACTGAAGAACTAATAGAGCACCTCGACAACAATTGCTCAGCTCTCCCAGAGAAATCAGGTTATAAACAACGTCTTTTAAAGACGGAATGTTGTAAAGAAAACGTTTTCATTCAAAAACTTAGGAGAAAGAGATCAGCAGAATCTGCTCCTCACTCCTACAACTCCTGCACTTTAATTTCAACCAGAGACGCGCTAAAATGAACCGTTTATGCTGCACTTGAAAGGCCCCCTGAATCTTCCGGGATTTAGGCAATTAATTTTTCGTATTTAAGTAACAACGAGCCGAATCGCTAAGGAGCAGGAATGTATACGCTGCGGGTTTCTCAGTGCCTACCCCCTGTGCCACGGCCACCGCGGTCACCTCCTACATGGCTGAAGCACCCAGCACGCCAATCTCCGGGGAAAAACATGGAGGAGATATCGGGCCCTGTCAGAGGAAGCACCTCGGCCGGCTTCCCCGCCTCGCCCGAGCTGCTCTGGGCTGGCAGCTCTCGAGGGAGCCGCGGCGCTGGGTTAAAGCATTTGAAGGGGGCATTAGCGGCAGGGAGCGGAGCTGGGTGGGAACAGGGGCCGGCCGCGGCCAGGGCAGGAGAGGCGCGGAGGGAACGGCTCGGGGGCTGCGCGGGGAGCAGACGCGCTGCTCCGGCAAGCGCAGCGCCGGGAGGCGCGGGGAACAACCCTCGTCGGGCAGGAAGCCCTGCCTCCCAGCCCTGCCGCGGCTCGGCGGCCCGCTCGAGGTTCTCCTCCCATTTCTGCCCAGGAGGAGTCAGGGCGGACTCTGAGGGACAATGAGTTGGGGCTGAGAGAGGAGCTTCGCTGCAGCGAAGCGGCGCCATCTTGCAATACGGACGAAAAGCTATGGCGGGCGCCATTTTGCATTTGGCCGAGAGATGAGAAGCGCCTTACTGCATTTCCCCTCCTGGGCGCCGCCATTTTACGTTACGGCAGAGCCTCCGCCTTCCAAGCGCAATCTCATTGGGCGCCGCCATTTTGGCTTACGAACAAGACAGCGACCCGCAGGGGTCCTCACCCCCTCCCTCCCTTTAGGTGCCTTCATAAAATGCCCGTCGAGAATCCCCTCTTTTTTCGCCCCGCTCCCAAGATGGCGTCGATGCGGGAGAGCGACACCGGCCTGTGGCTGCACAACAAACTGGGCTCCACGGACGAGCTGTGGGCACCGCCGAGCATCGCCTCGCTGCTCACGGCCTCGGTCATCGACAACATCCGCCTCTGTTTCCACGGCCTTTCCTCGGCCGTCAAGCTCAAGCTGCTCCTGGGGATGCTGCACCTGCCCCGCCGGGCGGTGGATGAGGTGAGAGCCGGGTGGGAGTCGCAGCGAAGCGGGGCGCGCGCGTGTGTGTGAGGGGGAGAGGTCGGAGATGGCGTGAGGGGAGAAGGGGGGGGCAGTGCCAGCACCACCTCCCCCGCCCTCCCTTTTTTTCCATACGGAGGCTGCGGGGAGGGGGGACCCCGGGCTGCCCGCTGCCCGGGCGAAGCCGAACGGACGCAGCCCCTTAGGGCAGGGGCATGTGGTAGGGCTGGTCCCCACAGCCATCCCCGCCTCTCCCTCGCAGCCTTCCTCCAGCAGGAATAAGTGAAGAAAAGTCTCCCAACTCGCTTCTCGGTGTAAGGAAAAGCGCCGAGATTTCCCGTGATAAGGGAGTGAGTGGAGTGGGAGCTTTGCTGCTGCTCCTCCTCTTCCTGCTCTTCGGGAATTCCCTGGTTGACACTAGCTTTTGGAAAGCAGTTTGGACTGAAACCCATTGTGTGGCCCACAGGGACTCTGTAGGGCTGTGTTTTGGGTGCCTTTCAGGGAAGAGGGCTTTTCTGAGGCAGTGGTTGTGCCACGGCTAAGACAGAGGCAGGATCGTTTAGGAGCAGCCGTGTGTGTGTTCAGCTTCCTCCACTCCTTCCTTAGTACTGGCAGCTGTGTAGGTGTCACAAGTCGAGCACCTCGGCTTTAGGAAGGACAGCAGCAAGTGCTGAAACCTTGGGAGTGGAAGATCTGGGGTCTGCTGAGCAGTGCTTTTCCCCACCTGCCTGCAGTCAGGTCTTGATAGGGGAAAATGTCCATGCTTTTTGTTTGCCTCTCTTTACCTTTCTGGGAACAGCTGGTGCTTTCCTCTGTCTTCCTGCCCCAGCTAATAAACTGGTTGGCTCGAGTCTGAGCTGGCTCTGCAGGCTTTTTCATTTGGCCCTGGACCATACCTCATCTGCCTGGCTTATTCTTACCAGTAGGCAGCTATAGATACTTGGGGCAATAGCTGGAGAATGTCTGGAAATCTTGAGTTTCTTCAGCCAGATTAGAGGAATTCCTTTCCTACTTCCATCATGTAAAGTAGTAGTTCCTGGTAACAATCATGGAAGTGGTATGTAGTTAGTTTTCACCTTCCTGTGTTGAGTATCCTCAGCTGTGCTTTCACCAGTCTTTTACTTGGCTAACACACAGCTGCTTCTTAAGCTTAATATACATATATACCAGGCTGGGTGCGATATATTACTTGGATTGTTGTATGCCCAGCTTTTGTTCACTTCTAGGCTGAAAATGGGAAAGCATTGCCTTTAAGCAATAATTTAGTGTATGTCAGTGTTTGTCTTGACACATGCATCTGTATGATTCTTCAGTGGTGTCACTTTAGAAAAAATTATTCTTGTTCAGCATGTTTATGCTAAATTTTAAAACATATTTGTGTTTAGTGCCTGTTCAGTGAACAAGCTGTCATCCTTGTGTGTGATAGATGGGGTCGTGTTCTGGACAAACAAAATAATCAAGGCCAGAAAGGGGGATGGGTGCTCATGTGAACTTGTGAGTTTGCAAAATTCTTGTGAACTTAATGTGAAAATCCAAGTAGCCTGGAAGAAATTAGTATTGCAGTGTTTAGAAAAATCAGTGCTATTTTTAGATTGAAAAGAGCTTCAAAAAGCTTAGGGACCTTCATGGCAACTCTTTGACGGAGCAGCATTCAAGCAAACTGAAATAATTTGTTGAAATGCTTCAAGAGTGTTCACTGGGTGAACATTTTAAACCAAACCCAAGGAAGGTGGCAGCCAGCAGCTTTCCTGGATCTGTGCTTGTGTTAGCTGTGGAGGTGAAGTGTATGTAGAGAAAAGCAAGTCAGTCAGTGTGCCTTTTACTGTGTACTTAAAGTGATCAGTTGTGTTCCAAATGTAAAGCTCTTGTTACTGCTGTAACAAAATATTGTGCAATTTTTCTGTTAAGTAGAGTTCATTAATTCAATCATAAGTTTAATCTTTCATTATAAACCGATGATGCTTGATTGAGCAACATCAGCTTACAATGAAATATTAAACTTTAGCATCTTTAATTGTGCCAGGAACATGTGTTTTTGTTGGTGGTTTTTTTTTTTCCTTAAGCTGGGAGAAGTGCCTTAAAAAAAGGTTAAAAGTAGGAAAACTCGTGGGGCAGAAACCCTTAACATTGCTGGTAGGCCTGCTATTATCATTACAGGCTTCCTTCTATAAATAGTAAAAGTAGCTGATGTAACCAAACTGCTGACCGAAAGGACTGTTGTCTTACTGGATGCTCATCATTTGTAGTTAGTTTGCTAACATAGTTTTATTTGTGTAGATTTGTCACCTAACTTACTATCAAGAATTTTGATGTTTTAATTGGCATGTAGTACTTTGCACACAGTACCCAGAAAATAGATAAATATGTCTGTGTCCAGAATGGCTGTTCACATCTCTGCAGCAGCCTTTGCTTGTGTGGTGGGGAGTGCTGGAAGTGGTGCCTACCTTCCAGGACAGGGTAGCTATAGCTTTCTGAAAGTGAATTTGTCAATTTTCATGGGGAAATCACTCCCATGTCTGAAAGTTATTAAACTGTGAGAGTACTTAATTTTTCTCTTTGGAAAGTCACGTCTTTCCCATGCCATGTGCCAGTCTGTATTGATCATGTACGAGAGGCACCGAGCTGGCATTTGGAAGCTTAATTGTATTGGAAAATGTACTGCATCAGCTTTGTAAAGCTTTGGGAATCTCAATAGCAGTTATAGGATATGTTAAATGTTTAAAGATACTCCCTTCTCTAAATATCAGATTCAATTTCATTATTTTCTCTTCAATTTTTTTTTTCTGCTTTCTATATACTAGCATTTTCATGAAAGCTTAGAATAACATGGAAATCATTTGGGAGCAGACATTTGAGTAAAAAGCTATGTGGGAATCAAGGAGCCCAGTGGTATTTGGTTTAGAATGGATTTAATTGCTCCTGGTCCTTTCTAAATCTCTGTGAAAGCTTCAGTCTAGCCAAGTGAATCTTCAGTGAGCTCTCTTGAAAGATCAGTCCTTCACTTAAGTGGTTTTATCCTCATATGTAATATCTTTCAATTTTCATAGTGTTTTCATTCAACACTCCAAATGCTATATAGATATAAATTACTTAATCCTCATAATACTCTTGTGGGACAGGTAATAAACCTAATTTTTTTTATCATGCTGTGAACCTCATTACTGCATGTTTGTTCCTGCTGACTAATAAGAATAATTTGCTTTCATTTTAAGTTGTGTTTTGTAGGCAGTTATCAAAAATTCCTTTCCCACTGTAAATCTCTGGGCAGAACTTGCAAACTCTTGAATCTTACGGCTTTTCATCTGCTATTTTTTTTCTAGATAATTGCACTTATTTGAAATGATTCCTAAAGCTCAGTGTAGTGCTGACCAGAGTTTCAGTTGTGAATTTGGCAGAACTGTTATTTCTGTTTATTTTGCATATTATGTTCTTGTTAATCTGATTCACAATGGCAAGTTCAAGCTTTCTTTTTATGCCAAGGTTTAATTTATTTGTTCAGGATTAGACTGTGATGTTACAACCAAGTCTGGAGCAAGGACTGTGCTTCTGTGCTCTCTGAATTATCTTGAGAGAAAGATCCCTATCCCAGCAGGGACCTGCCCATTTAGTACAGTAGGAATCAAAACTGTTTCTTTATACTGGCTTATGTGGACCAAGAGCCATCTGTGCAGGGAAATGGGAATTAAACACAGGCTGCCGTGCACCTTTCAGTCCTGCACTTAGCATTCATCATTATTCTGTAAAATGGTATATTTTAATCCAATATTTCTCTTGGCCACTTCAGCTCTTTTTCATGATTAAAAAGCAAACCACATACTATAGTGGTGTTGACCCATCCTGGGTTTGTATTGTGTAAACATTAATACTGTGTTTTCAATATAATGCTTTTAGTTTAATGAAAATTCTCTATAATGATAATACAGCTACCTATTAAATACCATCTTTCCTATAGCCTCAGAAAGATTAAAGCTTCATTTGGTTTGCTAGCCAACTGTTGATGCAGTTGTCTAAAAGTATCATCATACACATTAATTTAGGCAGAATATAAAGTAAATAAATGAATTCTTTGCAAGTAGTCATCTTGGAGCTGTCACGTTGTGTGTTACTATTAACACTTCCTTTTTTATACCTTCCCAAGTCCTGTTTGTCCTTCCTGCACAGCCATTAATCTGCCTTTGTCTCTGTTCCCAGACACTTCCCATCCTGCCTGATCCCTACTTGCTAGATGTTTCTAGTCATGGCCTATGCTTTTTCTTGTGCTTGCAGGCTGAGAAAAATACTTAAGATACTTAGGTTTTAGATGAGAAACTGGAAAACGTTACATCAGATCTTGCCATTCATGCTTAATAAGATACTGGTTGGAGCTGATGGGAGTCTTATTGACCCAGTGTTGCAATCATAGACATTTAAGAATTTGGGATTATGGCTGTGCCCTGTAAAGTAAAAGGAAAACTGCATGTAGGATTCCCTGTTGAGTTGCATTTCATGCATTCTCAAACCAGAAATGAAATGTTTCTTTTCAGCTGCCAGTTGAATGCTGAAGGGGGAACATGTATTTAAATTGCCATTTGAAGACAAACCTGACTCAAAACTTGGATCCAGGCTTGTTAAATGCAAAGCTATATTCAGGCAAGGTCCCTGGTTAGCTCACGGTACCTGTTATTTGCTTTGCTTCCCTGTGTGTGGTAGTGACTGTTCTTCCACCATGTTCTTTCTGTCATGAGGCCTTGTGATAACATTATTTGCCCACTGCTAGGCAAACAGATTGTTTCTGGGCTCCTTTCTTGAAGGAACCAAAAGCTTGTAAAGCAGTGGGTTTTGGCATAAATAGGCTGCCTGAACTTTAGCCATGAGAGCAGAGGGGATGCAACATGCCCAGACCAGAGCTCTACAGGAACTTTATGGGCGTGTAGCTCTGTGAATTTTTTATATAAATGTGAGCTCTGTGAAGTAGATATGAAGAGTAAATTGTGAGGATGCAAGAGAAATTTTTCCTCTAGCTATTGCCTGGCTTTGCTTTGATGAGGGAAATGACATTCTGTACATTTAGCTGCATTTGTGGTGTCCACAGAAAAGCTTGTAAAAGCTATGAATTCATCAGCTCTTCTGGGATGTTTTAGGTTTCCAGGTGTTTCATGTAAATCAGTACCTTGATTGCTTTAGGATAGATAAGAGAACAAAAGACTTTGCTTTGATAGTGTTCACAGTCATCCTCATCCACTGGTAGAAGTGACATTTGTTAAGGAGTTTAGGGTTAGAATAGAGAGGTGGACAAGTGTATGGAGGTTCTGGTGGGGTTACATTTACTGAGGAAGAAATGAGCAATAGAGAACAGCAAAGACTAGAGCCTCAGAAATTGATTTTTTCCACTGGGTAAGTGTTGGTTAAATTTGACAGCACATTAAACAGTGTTTGGTCCTGGTTATGTGCTCAGTTTAACCCAAAGCAAATCCATGTCACTGCTGAAGATGGGAACTGGCCTATGTAGTGTCTTCTTCCTTCTCCCCTCTTTGTGGTTCTGGTGTTCGTGTGACTGCAGTCAGTCACTTCAAGGAGCTGGTTGAGCTTAAACTACAGAGATGCTCATTTTGGGCAAGATGGACTGATGCAGTTTGTTTCACAAGCACATAATGTGTGAGCCCTCAAACACGCAGGGGGTAAAGGACAAAGTGGCTCTGTAGTGGATTTGTAAACTCTTCCAAAGTGAGAGGGCAATAACATTGTGTGGATGAAAGGACTTGAGAAATGTCAATGTTTGTTTTCCTCTGAGCTTTAAAAGTGGATGGGAGAGGAATAGGGAGCAGAAATTTAACTTCTATAACTTTTATTTAGAGTTGTATGCATAGAGTAAGCTTATTTTATTAAACCTTTTCAAATAAGAGTGCTTTAACTAAAGGGAAAGAAATACAGCCTAAAGGTTAAGATGACTCTCTTGCTTGTCTTCCTGTGTTCAGAAACGTGATGACTGTAACTAAGCTGTATGTGCCACAATGGGTGGTGAAATATTAAAATTCATGTAGTTGAATATCCTTGCTTGTACATTCTTCAGTGTTAATACCATGCAGATAGAGTTTGGTAAACTACTTTATGTAATTACACTGTTGTGTTTTGTGGCTTGTTATACACACAGAATATCTTGAACATCTTAGTTCTCTGAAGCTAATGTTGTCACGGTTATGTGTAAATCTACTTAGAAAAAAAAGAAAGTGTTCAGTCTTTGGGGGTTTATACTTACTTGTGAATAATGTAAACCTCTGACTGTAGTCACCTTGATTTTAATGTCATAGTGCCAATAGATATGTTGGTCAATAATTAAAAAAATACTGTTACAATGAGACTTAGAATTTACTTTATGTATTATTTTGCATTTTTCAAAACAGAAAAATAACTTTTTTCTGACTATGGAAAGTTTGGGTAGATGGAAAATGTTGTTACTTGTGGCATGTTAGAGGGCTGTGTTTACTTCCATAATACATAATTTTTTGTTAGATACAGTATTGATCAGCTTATTTTGGCCTACACTTAAGTAATATTTTGAAGACAATTACGATGCAGATATAATCTGTGTAATTATGCTGTAGGCTGGCAAGGGGCACATCTTCATTTAGACACCTGTTCTAAATAACTTGTAATCTATTTGCATATTCCTATCACTGAATAGATGTGGGTCCACAGGGGGTGTGACTGTAAAACAGAAGTAATGTAAAAATTTGCCTGCTGCTTTTAGTAAAAATGCCCAGTGCTAAACAAAACTTTGAGCTGCCAAAAGCTCAAAACAAACTTGGGTTAGATTAGTTGAAAGCACTATAAAAAATTACCTTGGTTCATTCTTTGCTTGGTTCTAGAGTTAATGTGTAACTGTGTGGAAACAGTCTCCCTCTTCCCTCCCCCAGTAGTGAAACATTTTGCATGTTTGTGTCTTTTAAAGTAAATCCAACTATAACCTGTTTAAAACTGTTTCCAATTGGTTGATTTTCTTTTTCTTTTTTTGTTAGATGAAAGGGGCACTGACTGAAATTATCCAGCTCGCTACCTTGGATTCAGACCCCTGGGTCTTAATGGTAGCTGATATTTTAAAATCCTTTCCAGATACTGGCTCCCTTAACCTTGATCTTGAAGAGCAGAATCCCAATGTTCAAGATATTTTAGGAGAACTTAGAGAAAAAGGTAAGCCTTTTCTGTTGGTGAAAATTGCACGAATGTGGTGCCTTTTTTTAGGAATAACCTGTCATTTCACAGGCAGCCTTGCTGTCTTAACAGTAGAGGTATGAGAAGAAGCACTGTCTTGTCTCTGAACTACCACAGTTCATGACCTGGAATGGTACTGGACTGAGAATTGTGGCATTTGAGGAATGGTAGCTTCTTAAATTATATTTTCATTTATCATTAGAATTTAACGTCAGTTATTGCCAGGAGTGTGAAAGGCACACAAAAGTTTGTGTGGATTCATTAGTATCGCAGACAGGCTGTGCTGCAGCTTAGTCAGTAGAGGCTTTTTCTGTGTTGCTCTGTCTCCCATTTGTGGTACCAAGACAACAGCAGGTTTCTGTCTTGTGTGGCAGCACCAGCACTGTCCTGGGCAGGGGCTGCCTCTGCTGGAAGTGTCTGGACAGCAGGTGAGAAGTGCTGAAGGGAGACTGATCTTGTGAAGAGTTGTGCTGCTGAGGGCCAGGTAGCTACAGATTGCACAGCAGCTGAAAATACAGGGTCAGGCACTTGCACAGTTGCTGCTTCAGACAGTAAATGGTGACACAAAACTACTCCTACTTCAGTGGGTTTTATTTAACACATTGTCTAGAGAAAGCCTTCAGGCATCCATGGATGGACACTATCTCAGGGCTGGAGATTGCAGCAAAACAATAATTAAATGACTCGGAGGTGGAAACGCTTTGTTTTCTTTCTGTAAACAAATGATCATTTGTCTGTCCACACTTGTATTTGGATTTTCATTCAGTAGTTTGGTTTACATGTGTGATTTTTAAGGAATCTGAGAATTTAATAACTTCTATCTTTTTTTGACAATAGTAGCTTATTTAAGATACCTATAATTTGACTAGGTATAATTAAAATGGAAGCTTTTATGAAGCTAATGGGAAAAACAAACATACTAATAACTGGTTATATATTGTGTAATAATTGGAACTAAAGTATTCTTGGTGTTTATACAAGTTATCTAAAATTTAAAACCACCTGTACAGTCTAGATGTAAACTGTTTTGCCATTAGCTGTCAGAGAGGTGCTAATACCCCTGTGTACTGTGTTGACTCTTTATGCAGTAAGTGAATGTGAAACTTCAGCTATGTTGCCGCTGGAATGCCAATACTTAAACAAAAATGCCTTGACAACACTAGCTGGGCCACTTACTCCCCCAGTGAAACATTTCCAGCTGAAAAGGAAACCTAAAAGTGCCACTCTCAGAGCTGAACTCTTGCAGAAGTGTAAGTAGTATTAAGATTGGGTACAAATTAAATGGTGAAAGGAAGATTTATATTTGGTATAGTCAGTCTTATTCTCCAGAATGGTGATAAACATTAAAATTTTCTGTTATAAGTGCTTTCCTGGATGAGGATGGATTGATGTGTGGAAGAGCCAGGTGCAAGTCATTCCAGCCAGGATTGCATTAAAATGCTAATCTTGATTTAAATGCTGTTAAGATTTCAGGGCATACAAAGAGCTGTTACTCTATAGAGCACAGAGAGGTCCTCTCCTGGGTATATGTAACAGTCAGTTGGGAGGACTTCTGAGGGACAGCTTTGGTTAAAGCTTATCAAACAAAAGTAAAATGAGAACCCTTTTATTTTGCCATGTTCTTCTGGAGCAGGGAGCAAGAGCTGCTAATTAATGCTTTCTTTCACTCTGTATGGATGTACAGGCTGTAAAAACCAGGAGGGTTTTCCCTTAACAAAAGGCAGCATATGTGTACATGTATGGATTGGTAGCTGGTTGAACTAAGTGACCTTAAAATAGTTTACTGCAGCTGCTGTTCTGTTGCAGCAGCTTGCTGCTTTCCTGCATACCACTTGAGTTTGTCTGGTTAAATACAAAATTTGTAACTTTTCATAATGTGTCATATAACTTTTAAAAATTATTTAAATTTCTATTGAGTAAATACCCTATTCTGGTAATTTCTTTTAGCTTAGGCCATCTTGTCCATTGGTCATATTGATTTTTTCATTTTCTCCTAATACTATGCTTACTTCACATAAATGACCTGGGCTTTAATTAAAATATAATTCTTTCTTTGTTGCTATTCCTATCTCTTCATGTATCAGTTAATAACATTTTATGTAAGAAGCAATATATTGTATATTTTCAGCACAGGTTCTGTAATAACTAAAGCCATTTTTCTTTTTAGCAACAGAAACTGCTCAACAGCTCAAGAAGACTGCAGGAGTGCCTTTCCATGCCAAAGGCAGGGGACTGGTCAAGAAGATAGATACAACAAGTATGGCTCACTTTCATCAGTTCTCAGAAAGAAAACCTGATAAAGTGGCCTTGATGAAGAATAAAATTACCATCTGGTTTTTTACAAAAGCTTAATTTTTTTTTTTAGCAAAAAGCATTTTTCCCTTTCTGCCTCCCTCTCTCCTGATTCTTAAATATTTCTGATATGTCTTGTTGGAAAGAACAACAGTGTGTGGGGTTTTTTAAATGGCAAGTATATCTGCCATGCTTCTAAACTGTATTCAGCTAGATCATGCCTGTAGACTTTGATAGGAATTTAATTTGCATCACTCCAGGAATAACTCCTGACTAAGCCATGTTGCTCCAAAAGGGAGAACAGTGGATCACAGTAGTCTGCTGTGCTCTTTGAAATGCTGTGAAGTAGGCTGAAGCTATCTTGTATTTGTATAATTTTGTCTGGAGTAAGAGGTGGGGAGAGTGTTTTCTGCAGTCAAGGCTGAGCAGTGAATTCTACATGGCAAACCTGTAGAATGATCCTTCTGCTTTGTATTAATGCATTTCAGCTATTTGCTGAAGTTCTTGAACTGCTTGAATTTTTCGAATAAGGTATGAGAAGAGGGTTTATTAATTACATATTCTTAAGTCACTGCACAGGTATAACTTTCCTGGCCACCAGTGATGCTGAGGTGTGAACCTTTGAGTGATTTTTTTGGTGTTGTGGCTGGAAGCTATGAAGTACTTTGTGTTAATGCTGTTTAGGATGTGGCTTTGAGGGCTGAAGTTTGGCCTCATGTCCATGCAGAAAATGCAAAAGGTCTAGTTGTAATTTGAACTAAAGATTGTTCCATTACAGAAAAGTTAGTTCTTTGCATTCTGTGTAGCTGTTGAATTAATAAAGCCAGTTCTTAGACCTGGCCTTTAGAGCCAGTTGGCCTCTAGAAACAGGAGTTGGGGACCCGCTGCGGTTTGCTCTGCTCACATGGGTCAGAGCATTGTCTTATGGTGGAAACATTTTCAGTACAACATTTAGAGGAATACAGAGTCTCTAAGCTCAGGCTGAAGTTCTCTGTTTATCTTCAGCTTGCAGGGCATGATGAGATTGTCAGGAAGCTCAAAGACCTGATAGATCTGTATATGTATCCTGTATATTTCAATAGTTAAATATTTATATATATTTATATAAATGTATATATTTATAATAATAGTTTAATAGTTAAAAGGTTGCTGGGTTTAGTGGTACCATTGAGTGTGGTGTAGAAGGGCAGCATCATAGAGCTGGGAGAAAAGAGGTGCTTGTAGGTATAGCTGAGTATTGAGACAGCAGATGCTCTGTACTGTAGACCCAGACTGGGTCCTCCTGCCTGTGCAAACAGCAGCTCTAGAATTTCACACCCCTTTGTGAAGGCAGTACCTTGCCTTAGATCATGAGCCCTTAGCCCTGCAGAAGCTTGGCTAAGATTTTTGGTTAAATACAGTTTTACCAAGTAATTAGATTGTGAAAATCAAAGAGCAACTTTGGCAATAGTTGGATTCAAAAGATGTATGTTCTATACTGTTTTACATGTTCAGAGTTTATTTTTTAGAAGTAAGGAAAGCATCTGTGTGTATAGGAAGAGTAAATTTCATTAGCAGTGCACCTGTTTGATTACTTCATGTAGAGTGGGATTGCAGGCATTGATCAGCGATTGGCTCTTTCTCCTCCTTTGAAGAGTAAAACCTAATCCGACTGACCTTTGAGGGATATGTAGTGTTATATCCAATTCCACATTATAAACATTTTAATTTAAAGGGCAGATAGTGTGTGCATTAAGAAGGGGAAGAGCTGAAGAACTTGTTAAAGCATTTTTCATAACCAGTTAAGCACATGTTTCAGTTGTCGCTTTCTTTGCTCTTCCCTAAGCACCACTCAAAGGAATACCAAAACAAGCTCCGTTCAGGAGTACTTCAGCACCCAGTGTTTTTAGTCCTTCTGGAAATAGAACTCCTATTCCTCCTTCAAGAACACCTTTGCGCAAAGAAAGAGGAGTAAAGGTAGGTGCACTCCTTGTTTTTCTGCTCAGTTCTCTTCTCTCACCTGAGTGAATTTCTGCTGCTGTTTTGAATCAATATATTAAGGAAAAAAACTGAGGATGATATTTAGAGATAAACTACATGCATTTAACAATGATTATTAAGTTCTCTGTGGTCTTTCTTTTTAGCTTCTAGATATCTCTGAGCTGGATATGGTGGGTGCTGGCCGTGAAGCAAAGAGAAGAAGAAAGACATTAGGTTGGTACAGCAGTCTACTTACAAAGGTTATCAGTACACCTGCAAATAGGATCAAGATTTGTAGTACCATTTTGTTCTTAATTTGCTAAATCTTAGCCTGAGCTAAACTTTAAAAAATGAGGGGATGTGATACCAACCAACCCAAACAGGTTTTAAGGGGGGATTTTCACTTGTTTCAGTGCTCCTACTTATATTGCCTTGGCCTGAGTAATGTAACTCAATCACGTGAAAGGGTTAAGCTAATCAGATGTGCTTTGGGCAGCTCATAGGTGTGTGAGTGGCTTCAGTGCTGGACATTTTTCTGAGTTATTTTCATATGCTCACTTCTGCTGGCTGTATGGCCATGTAAATTATGTGAAAGTAATGTTGAAAAAAATTGTAGCACTCTCCAAAATTTTGACTGAGAGATCTTAACAAGGGAATAATATCTGATACACTGCTTTTAAAGCAAGTGACAGGGTGGTACCTTATGAAGAAGATATACTATGCAGCAAATTTGTCCCAAAGCAACTTTTTTGTATGTTTCACAAAAAAAAGAATACCACCTCAGAACAAAACCAGAATGACAATTAAAATGTTACTTGGGCTTTCATGCCTTCTAGTATCAAATTACTCAGTTACTATATCGTGTACATGGTGGTTCAGTTGTTAACGGGTTCATTATAAAACTGTGTTTGGAGATTACTGTATCTATTTCAGCATATATCTCTTCAAGCATGCTTTTAGCATACTTTGAGAAATGCATTTTTATCTCTTTGTTTAAAAAGTATATTCAATGTTTCTGAAAAAAAAAATTTTGACTCGCTTCTGGTTTTATGCAATAGATACAGAAGTTGTGGAAAAGCAAGCCAAAGAGGAAACAGTAGTAGAAAATGCTACCCCAGATTATGCTGCTGGCCTTGTATCTACACAGGTAAAACTAAGCAAGATCAATTGAACAAAAACCAACCTGTCAAAAAAAATATATAATCTTGACGTGTACTATCTAAACCATTTAGACACTGTAATGATATTCTACTCACTTGCTGAAATATGTTTCTTTATATAAAAACTTTTACATATTTTTTTCAAAATTCCATTGTATTTTCACCAAAGAAAAATCAAACCTCTTGCTAGAAGTTGTTCAGTCAGGGAGAGGGAGAATAAGTCATGTGTAGGCTTTTTTCTTCCCATTTCAGATAGAGCACATTAGAAACCATGGTGTAGCTTTGTTTTCTCAGTCACGATGTAGGTTTTCCAAGAATGTTATGTCCTACCCTTGCTTTTGAGTGAGAAACTGACTGTTGGGCATGTGTGAGAAGCCAAGGCCAACATACAGACAGATCTTGGTAGGCCAGAATCAGGAGTGAAGGTTGTCTTCTCTTTCTGCTAGGATAAGAGTGCTAAGATAATCTTTGTTTTAGCAAGTTCCACATGTTAGAGAGTGTCCATATTTTATATAGTAGGGCTACCTTAAATGGTTTGTCTATTTAACTTATTCTCTGCAAAACTTCTTTCCTTTCTCACCCCCTTATGTTCACAAGGCTGGATCAGGCAGTGAAATTGTCAACGATGCTGCTGTCATTATTCTGTGTATGCAGTGTAAATACAAAATGAGGCTTTTTCTGTAGCCTTACCATCCTAGAAGGCATCAGTCATATGTTGGTGTTGACTGCCTGTATCAGTGGAAATGGCATTTTTGCCTGTGGTATTACTGCTGCCTTCTGCTTGCCTATGTCCCTGAGGGCTTTGTGTTCTCCTGGGTGATACCCCAGTAAGCCTTATGCCTGTGGATGAACATCGTTCTGCTTGCTAGTGGTGAAGAGCATGTTTCCTCAGGCAAATCACTTAATCCTTGAGCATAATTCTTCATAGAGTGCCATCTACACAAAATTCTAATGTTTGAAATAGAAAGTTAATAGAAAGTTAAACAGGTTGTTAGGTAGAACTAGCGGAGTCGTCTGCAGTTAAGTTCCCAAAAGGAAAATCTTAGTAAAACTTAGTAAAAATGTTGAAGTTCTATTTAAAATGCAGAAACAGCCCATGAATACTTGCAGTGTGGCTTTAATGCTTTCTTTTCTGTTCTATAGAAACTTGGCTCGTTGAACAATGAGCCTGCACTACCTTCTACAAGTTACTTACCTGCTACCCCCAGTGTGGTGCCGTCGTCCTCCTATATCCCAAGCTCTGAAACACAGCCAGGTAACAGACACTTCTTTACTCTTGGGACCTGATAACTCCAACTCTGTACAGTTTCACTGTCTGGCTGCTCTTCTATTTACAAACCTACTGTCCCTCAACTTGAGTGAAACTCCACATTAACAATATAAAATCCATTGCAAGACTCCAGCCTTTGAGTCTGGGGAAACCAGACATATTATTTAACCTAGGTAAAGAAAATACTTGTTGTCTCTAATTTTTTAGAGTGACTGCTAGGTAGGTCAAGTAAGTGAAACAATTTCCTGATTTGTTTTTTTTTTCTTGCACAGTAATAGAAAATCCAGCTTTTGTAATCCCCAAAGAATAATCAGTATAAGTCTGAAGTATATATTCCATGCTCACACATGCTAGCAGGTACAAACCGTTGCTTTCAGAAGTCAGTTTTATTTCTAGAGGCAAGTGCATATTACCTTTCACATAGTTTGGGATTAACACATCCATTTTTCTTACATCTTTGTATAACAAAGATAATAGCTGACCTGCATATTTTGAGAAGTGCTGTTATTTTCAGTTCTAGAAAATTGCCAATAGTAAAAAATAGTTTGTACAAGTCCTTTTTTCCTACACTTTTATTTTAATCCACTTGATTTTATTTTTCCTTCCCTGCTGTGTGTGAAATCTTCAACGGAATGTATCAGTTTGTGCTAACAGATGTGTGTGACTGGGATTCATTACCAGGCCTGTCTGTTAACAGAGAACCAACATTTCCCTTTAATACATTAGTTTTACTTTTGCTTGTGAGCTGTGGCATTTTGGGCACTATAGAAAGCTGCATATGCAAAACGCAATCATTTCATTTGGCCTCAAAACAGTTCAGAATCTCTCTGAAGGTCTATGAGTATCTTTCTCTGGCAGAAAATTGGCATCTCCAGAAGGAATGCAGCCAAGAACACATCACTGTGTCAGCAGCTGTAGTACTATTTTCCAGAGTGTTGGCATTGTGTTCAACAGCAGGAAAAGTCTAGTTTAAAATTCTCTGTTCTCTACTCTCTCCTTTAGGACTATGGAGCGTTTAGCTTTTCTTATGAACCAGGAACATAAACTGTTTGCTTGATATAAGATGCACACAGAAGATCCACAGATTTGGCCTCATAAAATCTGAGGTTGCATAATTAAGACATTACTTTATAAAAGTCAGTTATTCTGACAAGAAACAAAGCCAGTAGTGAAACTTGTATAAGAATAGCTCATAGTTGCAAATGTTTATCCTCTCAACTGTTCCACACCTACTGAAAAATACCAGTATTGCTGAAACCATTGTCTGTGCCAAGGTTTTGACATCTCATTTCCTAAAATCTGATCAGAAGGGTATCAGTGTAGCTCTGATCCATATCTGTCTTTACCCTTCTGTGAACACAGTGTAAACAGGTTTGTGAAGGGTGTTTAAGCAGCTGTGCCTGTGTCCAAGTCCTGCAAAAAAACGTAGGTAGTGTCCACTGGGTAATTTCCACTGTCTGGACAGATGGTAACTTGTGTGGTCAGGCTGCTGTGATTTCATGAGTTGCCTCCAACTGCAGCCAGTTTTGGAATAGTATGATGTCCTTATTGCAGGTGAATGGATCAGCTTTGAGAAAGAACAGTTAAACCCTGTCAAAGTCGTGGGGTTTTAACTTCTAGCAGTTAGTGTTTAAATAACAAGTGATTTGTGAAGACTGCATTTAATTCAGACATCTGTTAAAGTACATTTGTATTTTCAGTATATTCATGTATATTCATCTGCTTCCTTTGAAAGCTGCCACTACATTAGGTAAAAACTGATGAAATATTTTTGGACTTGCTCTATGTAATAGTGCAGCAACAATCCTGGTAGGATCAGAGTACAGTTGTTATAATTATATAAACTGAAAAGTAAGTATAGCAGTTTCAATTTAATAAGTTAGATATTGATTAAGCATCAAATTTGGTGCTAAGTATGGTGTATCCATATTGAACAGCTAGTTACTCTGTTGTCTAATTATTTCTAAAGATAACTGAGTGGAAAGAGCATTAGCTCTTTACTTTTTCATATGGATATTAGATGTCATATTGAATTGTGGTGCTAAAATGGAATCATCAGAGATTTTAGTTTCCTTTAAAGGCCACTGGTGATGCTAATCCCTATTTGTGGATAATAATGTTTTTAATTATCCTGACTGGTTTTTGCAGCTGGCTCTGCACGAGAGGCCTTGCAGACCAACAGACAGACTGAAGAGCCTGCAGCTCCAAATGCTACTACAACTCTCCCTGCACAGTTCAAACAAAGAACACCCATGTACAACAGTAACTCTAATCCCCCTGCAGCTACACCTACCTCACCCCTAACACCCACCACACCTCCTGCCATCTCCCCTGCGGCACAGGCACCACAAGTGGCCCCCCAAACTCAGCAACAGCCACCACCGAAAAAAAGCCTCTCTCTCACAGTAAGTAAAAACAGGTTCTTTTTGACTAATGATTTTGATGTGGATTGAATCTCATTTGTATGTTGGCATTTCTTGGCCTTTGGATCATGGAGTGGTTGAGGCTTTTTAGATGAGGCTTTGTTTTTTTATAACCGAAGATTACAAAAATACTTTGTGGTTTAGCATTGCTGTCTTAATGTTATTCACAACATTTTTAGTTGTGCAGTGTTAACGTTGCAGTAAGATGTTGTTACTTAATGCTGTATGTTATGTAAAATAATGTGTTGCTCATTATAAGGAATTTCGGGAGAAAGGTATATTTCCAGCAGAAATTGCCCAGCCAATTGCATATAATATAAATTGCTTAAAATTGTCCTGACATTGCTGTAGTAGAAGAAAATACATCAATAGATTATTTAAAGGTAAAAGATTTCTGATCACCTCATCCTCCCATTGCATGTTTTTCAAAGACCAAGAGTGAGGATGTATCTTGAAGCTTCTTATTCCTGGTATTTTGGTATGTTTTATGTGCATGCTTGCAGTTCAGTTCAAGATGCAACTGATCAGAAAACTTTGCTAAACACATTGGTAAGCCTGGCTTGCAAGATCTGAACTTAAACAAGCTGGGTGACTTCTTTTCAGTACCTCTACTGCATTAATTAAAGGAAAAGAAATCCTCTGAAATTACTGCAAGCCTGGGTTTGTTGGATTGTAGAGAATGCATTGGATTTTCTTTTCTTCCCTAATGTCATAAAGGATACAAAATGGATAACATAAACATTAAGCCTCTCATGTGTTTCTGTAGCTATTTGAAGGTGGGGTGTCTTTTCAATGTCCAGAGTTCAGTTGTCACTTTGTGTGTTAGGTATAAGTATTGCAGAGGGGAAGCCTTGAGGTTAAGATGTCTTTTTTGTTAATTTTTTTGTGGGTCCTACAAACTTTCACATTATTCTTTTATGCTCATCTGTGGGTATTAATGTGATTCCTGTTGGCAGAGTTTTTCTCAACTGAATTGACGTTTGTTCTGTCCATTACAGAGGGAGCAAATGTATGCTGCCCAGGAAATGTTCAAGACTGCAAACAAAGTTACAAGGCCAGAAAAGGCTCTTATACTTGGATTCATGGCTGGATCCAGAGGCATGTATTGATACTAATGTAGCTAATTTCTGAATACACAAATCTGAAATACAGCTCAGCATTTCTAAATGTGCATATGAGAGTGCATTGCTTTAGCTTTGTCTGTATGTGTTGTACTCTTTGCTTTATACTGGACTCTACATAATTTTATGAATTGTAGTTCAAACTACCTGGAAATGGGTCTTTAGGTCCATTTCCACCAAGTCAGCTGGGTCTGTTAGAACAGCTGCTGACCGCAATATAACAGAACTCACTGTAGAATTATGGCTTAGGGTTGAAGAGAAACAAGGCAGCTGGTAAGCAGTGAACAAAGTGGTTGGGTGCTACTTCTCTGCCTAGAGACCAGTGAATGTAAATTCTTTTGTGGCCAGTTGATGTACCAGTTGAGTAGTACACAGTCCCTTTGCTAATTCCTTGCTTTAGAAACTGGCAACTGTTGTCTCAGAGACTTTAGATAACTACTGGTGCTGTGAATCACAGGGAGATAAGCTGTCTCATAGCTGGATCCTGTTATGTGTTGGCCTTGATAGACCAAAGCTGTTTTGCCTAGAAGATTATCGGATGTAAGATGAGAAGGGGCTTAAAAGTCCTTAAGTGAACTCCATCATCTGCACACTAGCTCTGGTTTCTAATTTGGTATTTGGGGGCTCTTACCACCAGAATCCCACAGCCTAAGTGTGGCTTATGCATTTGGAGTAATGCAGTACACTAGTGAGGATGACCAGAGCAGAGTTACTGTGGTGATCCCTGAGCTTTGGGTTTGGTTCATCTTTCATTAATGACGGTGTTTTCAGTACTCCATGCTACTTCAAATTGCAGTAGGAGGCTGTACTTTAATATCTACAGGGACAGCTTTTTCTACCACAAGGTAGAATACTATTTTGGAAGTGTGTGTGATACAGATTCACATATGCATGTATAGTAAAGTATGAATTCCTTCAGTAATAATGTTAGCACCTTCTGAAGGTTTGATAAATAACTGTCAACTGATATTCTTGAGCATCATTCCAGTATCTTGAAGTGTAACATTTAAAACTTCTACTGGAATGGAACTGAGTCTGGGACAAGTGGTTTCAGTGAAGCTTTTTGGGCTTCCTTAACAGCTAAAAATTCTTGAAGCGTTTAGCTACAAAATGTCTCCCAAGTAAAGTAACTCTGGTAGTTCAAGTTCACCAACTCCATTTAAATATAAACTTCTCTTCTGACTCTTGAGGCAGAGGGACATGACACTGGCAGGCTTTACTCCCTCTTTTATTGTTCTTCCAATTACTTTAGCCTTGAGCTTCATCTTTTGGGGTCTGGTTTCGTTATTTTTAAAACTTGGTCTCAGGATTATGGAGGGAGAAAAATCTTTGTCTGTGGTTTGCTCAGCTTTGTGTTTGAGACTTGTTGTTTGGGCTTTTTTTAAGCATAAAAACTGCCTATCTTGTCTAATCTACTGTTGAAATGTATAACGTGTTTCTCACCTTGTTTCCACAGAGAATCCTTGCCAAGAGCAAGGTGACATCATCCAAATTAAACTTAGTGAACATACAGAAGATTTACCAAAGGCAGATGGCACAGGCAGCACCACTATGTTGGTTGACACAGTCTTTGAAATGAACTACGCTACTGGTGAATGGACCAGATTCAAGAAGTACAAACCTATAACTAATGTTTCCTAAGAGATGAAGCAGCAGCAGACTGGACCAAATCAAGCTTAGAGTCAACCAGCTCATAAAGTATGTCAACTGTACAAAATGGCATTCATGTGTACATTTCTAATTACCCTTCAGAGTAGAGGCTGTGCTCTTCAACCAAACTGAGCTCAATGAACAGAAAAGATGGTGGTGTCAAACTTGCTTTTTTTTTTTTTTGTATTTTTTGTTATTAATCTTGGGAGAGGGAAAGATAATCTTGGGGGAGGGGGGTAGAAAATTTTGGTGTGTTTTTGTTTTCCTGCAGTTCAGGATGCTGAAAAAGGAGATCAGTTTACTGCTGAATACATGAAAAGGAGACTACTGCACAGTCATTCATGGTTAACTGAGGGCACAGATCTTTATTGTAAAATCATTTTCTTTGGCAACATTAGTTCTGTCGTGAGAATGGATGTTTGAAGTACCACAGGTCGGTGCTTGATAACTGTATTTCAGCTGCAGTAAAACTATTGCAGATGGTAGATGTCAGTGTCCAAAGGTACCCACTGTATGTTTATTTATGTTTGGGTCATAGGATGAGATTGAGCAGCTTTGTTAACTCTCTATATTGTCAATGTACATGCCCAGCATGAGTTAATCTATATTTGGCATTATTTGAGATATACAGAAACTGAGTATCATAACTTTCTGAAGAAAAAAACCCATCAAAATTATGAAAGTAACTGTGGCTGGTCACTGCCCAGAAGTGATGGTTTCTTGTCATAGGAATCTTGGGGTAGAAGTTGGCCTGTGGCTCTTGCATAACAAGTCATTTGCACAGTGGAACTTAAGTGGAGGAAGGGAAACAACTACATCTCAAAACCAATTGGAGCATGATTTAAAAATGGCCCTAGAAATGATTGAGACACATCTGAGTAGAAGTTTTGTTGTCTTAAGGCACTGTTAATGTATGTTTGGTTGAGCAGTCATAAATTTTGGGTCAAGCCCTGACCGAAAAAGTTTTGAATGACTGTAGCTGTGGTTCTTACCAGTGTAGTATTATCAGTATAATTGCTAATGTGGTCACAATTATACTGGCATATAAATGTGCCTTGTACTTGTCCCCTGCTAGTAGAAGCACATTTTTATCTTTATAACTGTGTTCATACCACTGGTGTAATCTGGCTTTAACAGTACAAACAAAGCTGGCATTTACTGAGAGGATTCATATACATAAGTCAGGATTCCTTCTTGGGAGACCTGGCTTCATCATTTGAAGAAGTCTTGGATTCAGTGTCTGGTTTCTTGCCAGTACTTGTGTGTGGAGCTGTGCTTGGTTGGGAATGCTGCTTAGAAGGCAGAAATACAAAGATGAGTAGCAGAGTGGTGATGTGTTCAGGAGGTACCTTGGGCTGACTTAAAGGTTCATGTTGAAGTAGAACTTTTAGGACAAAATGAGGCTTCTTTTTTTCTTGTTCCTTTTTTCTGAAAAAAAAGCAGACCAAATCCCATAGTACACTTGTATACTAAGAAAGACATTTAGATGTTTGGTTAGAGTCGTTTTTTTATCGGGGAATTTTCATTGCATTTTAATCTTAGTTTTTCAATCAAACTACCCAACAAGACAGGGCAAGTATAAATAATATTTTAAAAAACGCCCTGTATTCTACAGTTTTTTAAGATGTGACCAAAAGTGTAGATTTCTTAACTTTATTTAAGCAAATACACAGAATATTCTAGCTCCTGTAACAGGCAGTGTGTTTGATGGTAACTGCTGCTGTTACAGTGTTGTGCATGTTTTACTGTGGAAGTTACATTTAGCTGTCACATCAGGCTATCCTCCCCAGAATTGCCCATTTCAGAAGCAACGTAGATTGTAATTTTGATTCCAACTTTTCTTTTTAAACAGCTAGAAAACAGCTTTACAAGTGAGGGTGAGTAGTGAGTTTTAGTTTTTAGGAATTTAGTAGAATGTGTTATGGTTATAACTTATTTGGTTTTAGAGTGTTACACAGTGAGGGCTAATGATAGGATATGAAAGTATTCATCTTTTAGAAGAAAGGCTTAAAGAAAAGTGACATTCCTTTTGTTGTCTGCATTCAGATTTTAAAATTTCCTTGTGATGACCAGTTTGCTGTAAATGTGTGTGATACTTCTGTCTTAGCTGCTCCTGCTTGCTAGATGAGCTGCAAGTATCAGATACAGTTGCTAACAATGAGCATTTAGAAATTGTCTGGCTTGAAGGTCATGTACTGTGATTCCAGGATTCTTGATGCAAGACCTGTGCAGTTCAGTCGTGCTCAGGAGCTGCTGTGTGGTGGCTCTTTTGCCTTGCTGGAGATTAATGGTGGTCCCTCACTAAGCCTTCTGGGTCCACAGAAGCCTGCATTTCAGACCTGTGCTTTGGGTGGAGATAGCAGTCCCTCTGCTCTTCAAGAAGCCCTTCTAGAATGCAGTGGAGTCATTTGAGTGCAGTAGTATGTAGGAAGCTTAACCATGCTGCTATTTGTAATTGTTGCATAATGCAGTTGGTCTCCACGCCTGTTAGTCTAAAGTCAGTCATAGGCAATAAATGGAAATTTTAAGTAGAACTATAGTGTATTTTTAATTCCGTTAACTCATTAGGATGAGACAATTTAACACTGCAAAATTTAATTACTTTTTAAAGTCACTCTATGACCCTCAATACCAGAGCATTACTTCAACTTGATCTGTGAATCTAGAAAGTGCTTAAATGCCTCAAGCAAGGGAAGTTTCTGTAACATTGTTAGAATGATACAGTAAGAAGTAAAGCTACATGGAGTTCTTTGGTTCAGCGAATGAAATCATCAAATCTGTGTTCTGAAAGTAGGAATAATGCCAGATAAATCAGAAAGGGCAACTTCAATATTGAAATTCCAATATATTGGAATTGTTACATACAGAACAAAATATGGTCTTGGAACTTGACTTTTTTTTCTTAAATACTCAGTCACTTGGATGTGAAGCTATTCAGTGAGGCTCATTGTGTGCTGTAAGGTTAAATGAAAGCATTTCTTTACTCTAGAATGACTTGCAGATGTACTGAGTTGACCAGAGAAGTAATTCAGAGTTTTCCTAAAGCTTTGCTTTTGTCCTTTCCTCGTCCCTTTATCTAAGCATTAAGTTTTAGGAAATAGCAAGCCCAAACTTTAGAAAACTTTGAGCTTGAACTGCACCTCATCAAAGGGCATGTCCCAGTCGCTCTTGCTTGTAGAGATGCCCCTGTCTGTGAAAGCCTAGGCATGACATGCATTGGCTTCTTTGATTTGAGTATGAAATACTGGAGAAAGAAGCAGTGAAAGTGGCTTGTGTTTTCCCTGTCCTGTCCAAACTTTTCTTTAGGGGAGAAAGAGCACATTCATCTTACCCAGAGTTCTTCAACAACTTGTCCTATAGTGAAGTGCTAGGTTTCTGAAGGCTCCATTTTCTTTCATGTGTGCTATGAGGACCAGAAAGAGTGAAATGAAGGTAATGAAGAAAGGGATCCCAAGAAGGATGCTGAGCAAGAGTTCTGATCACAAATTCCATCCTTTTGTTCATTCTTTTGCTACTCCAGTGCTTTGTAGTTACCTCCATACAAGCCAGTCTAGGCTTAGTACAGTTAACACTCTAGTACTGGGCTGGTATTTTGTGGGTTAACCTGGTTTTCAGTGCTGGCTTTGCCATTTAATCTTTCAGTTCAATACCATGGGATCCTGGATACAGTGGGAGCCTTTAGTAGTTGCTTGACATCTCTATGTGGAATTAGTCACTTCTTTCACTAAGTTGTGTCAAAGTGCAGACCACTTGTCTAGATAAAAGAATCTTGAGACTTTGACATCACATGGTTTAAGAATGAATCACATTTTCATAGTAAGATCTGACTGGAAAAAAAAAGACGAAAAAATGTTAAGCCAGAGCCCTCTGGGAATCTGGTGCCTTTAACAAAAACTGTCATTTTGTAAAATGTCACATCTATAACATAGCCTGTATGTTTTCTATTGGTTTTTGTTTGTTTTGGTTTTTTTATGTACAGATGTAAATTCAAAATATTCTGTCTTTGGGTACGTATTTTCAGTGTAATACAGTATGTATAATAAAAAATTTAGATTTTCTAAGGATGTGGACTGCTGCTCTTCTTAATAACCAAGTTGTTTATTGTACTAACAGTTGAGTTGATGTACCACCAGCCTGAGACCAAATGGCCAAATCACCTGATAATGTGTATCTTTTCAGTTTTGTGGCATTGTTTCTGTACATGCATTTCAGAATTGGCATTTCAAAGCTGACAAGTGCTGTTTTAGGATATTTGTGAGTGGATTTACTGAAATAGTTGCTCTTGCTCCGTGTGTGGGTTCACTGAAAGTGGGTGAGCCCTGGGTGCTGTGTCTGCAGTGTGAAGCTGTGCTGAAGCACTGGAGCCACAGCCACAGATGGAAGATCTGCCATGCCCAGGTTCTGTGGATGGGGTATGGAAGTGTGGAATAAACCCTGTTGTTCTTCAATGCTGCCTTTATCTGAATTGGTGCAATGGTGGCTTCTCTCAGTTTGGGTGCTGCAGAAGGTGAGTTTGTTTTAGGAATGGTGGCTTTTAGGGTGGGGATTGTTGTGGGTTTTTAGAAACTTGTGCTCATATACTGTTCCTAGGGTCTGGTCCTGTGATAAGCATGAAGGTTTGTCTTACAGTGTTATGTAGAGATGTGTGGCTGGCCTTATCCCAATTTCTCTGTGTGCAGCTGTGTGAAATGGCTCTGTTCCACTTGCCTGTCCTGGGGTGGTGCCAGACATACTCAGAAGTTTTTCTTTTCTGTGTCAGGTTGACCTTATCAAATAGCCAGGAAGGGAGTTAAATTCCAGGTCAGCTGCTCTGCTAGAATGCTTGGGACAAAAGCTTTGGGAGAGGTTGGGATACACACTTAATTTGTTATTTCACAGAGGACTTGCTTTCTGAGATTTCCTGGTGCCCAGACCCTGATATACTCTGCATGAACAGGGATGTGCCAATTCACCTGCCTGCTGAGCTGGCCTGGGCAGAATCACACCCAGCTGTTTTTGGTCTCTGTGCCACTGGATACTTTGGAGAGGCTTAGCTGGTACCACGCTGTAGGGGATTTAATATTGAGGATGTTGATCTAATGCTAACCCTTAAAACTGTTGCTGGACCAAGCATTGTCTTCCAGACATGAGCAAACCCCTGCCAGGTGCTATCCTGTGTTCCAAGTGCCTTTAGACAGTGCTTGAACGTCGCAGACTCCACTCCTCTCCCTGCCATGCAGGTGTGCGTGTAAAGGCTCTCCTGAGAACAGGGAAAATTAGGCAAGAAGCAAAACCTGACTGTTCTAAAGTAAATGAGGTGTCTGTTTCCAGAGCCTGCTGTGTTTCAAGATACTTGCATTGTACCATCCCTGGAATTGCTCTCAAGGCTGAGTTGGATGGGCCTTGGAACAGCCTGGTCTAGTGGAAGGTGCTCCTACCCATGGCAGCGGGTTGGGACTGAATGATCCTTAAGGTCCCTTCCAACTGAAAACATTCTGGGATTCTGGGACCTTTTCCTGAGGAATTTGGGGAGAGTCCTTTACTTGCTTCACAAAATGTGCTTCCTGTGTAGCATTTGGTTTTATAATATACTTATTCCTTCCTGGTAGAAATTTAATGAAAATGGAAACCAATTGGTTTCTCTGAATGGTTGATTGAACCCCTCACAAGCACATGAGCTTGTTTCTAGTGGCTGCCCCATAATTTGGTGTCACTGAAGTCCATCTTCTCTCTCCTTTTTGCTTTTCATCTTTCATTAGAATTATTTTTTTTAATTGGCTGTTTCCTGACATAGGAGAGTTGGCAAGACAAGCTGATCTTGTACTAAAATTTTGTGATCATCTGCATGGATCCAGAGCAAGGGAACCCAAGCTGTGCCTCAATGGAAGGTGTTTCCTCCTTCCCATCCCCAAATGCTGCAGCCATGAACAGCACAGGCAGCACCCCCTGAACTTGTTCTGCCTAAAGCACCAGCTGGGTTTGACCTCCAGCCTTAGAGCTGACACCCAAGACCACCTTTTTAACTGATGGGAGGATTAAATAAGAATTAAATGTTCTGTGCTACTTGTGAAAAAATAAACTTCTAGCCTCTGTATATGATTATGGTTGGCTAAACCATCAGATTCCTGCTGCAGTGCACCACCTTTCCTTTGGCTAGAGTGTTTAGAAGTGACTGTAATAGTATGTAACTTTTACTTAAATTCCCCCAGCTCCCTTTTGCGGGTTTTGTTGTTCCACCTCCACAACAGCCGTCGCTGCCGGAGGTTTCTGCTGGCGCAGTTCGGGAAGAGCGGCTCCCAAAGGCCGATTTTGGGTGGGGTGGTTTTGGTGCGGGCCCGGGTGTGGCGGTGTCCCCTGCCCAGCGCTGTGGTGCCATCGCGTGGCCGTTCTCTCGCCAAGATATTTCACCGTCCGGAGCACAGAACCCCTCGTGTTCTCTGGGAACAGTGCTGCTGCTTTTTTTTTTTTTAGGGGTCTGGATTGGCTGTTGCTTCCCAGCACAGCCCGTGGGGTGGTGCATCCCAGGGGGGTCAGGAGTGCTTCTGCTTTTTTGTCTGTGGAGGAGCAAGTACTTGCAGCTGGTACCTCTTCTACACACAGCCAGGTTTGGGTAGGAATCACAACTTAAATTGCTTGAAGAAAATCTTTTCCAAGAAAAAGCCCATCAGAATCCTGATTGCAGTTTGAATATGTTGCTCTTTGCCAGCCACAGCAGCAGCCCAGCCCACCCTCAGCTGCTAGCTCAGCAGTAGAGTGAGGGTCAGCAATGCTGCCAAAGGACCACAGTCCTGTCAAATAGCTGGACACAGCACACCAAGCGGCATCACTTCTCCTGGAGTCATGGGAACAGGACAGCTCTGTAGCACCTTGCCTGCCTTGGAGCATGACAGTCATTTGCCACTCCAACAGGGGTCTGTTAAGCCTAGGACACCAACAGTGTGGTGGAGTGGTGGGTAAACATGGGAAGAGCCCAAGAATACAAGGATAAATTATCTGAGTCCAGAGGAGGGCCAGTAAGATCCTCAGAGGCCTGGAGCACTTCTGCTATGAGGACAGGCTGAGAGAATTTGGGTTGTTTAGCCTGGAGAAGGGAGGGCTCCAGGAAGATTTCACAGCACCTTCTGCTACCTCAAGGGGCTATGAGAGAGCTGGAGAGGGACACAAGGACATGTGGTGATAGGACAAAGGGGAATGACTTTGAACTGAAAGGGTACAGGATTAGATTAGTTATTAAGGAAAAAAAAACAAAAACTCCACTGTGAAGATGGTGAGGCACTGGATGTGATTTAGAGAAGCTGGGGCTGTCCCATCCCTTGGAAGTGTTCAAGGCCAGATTGGATCAGTCTTGAAGCAATCTGGTCTAGTGGAAGGTGTCCCTATACATGGCAGAGAGGGTTGAAACAAGATGATATTTAGCTTTCAAGTCAACCATTCTGCTCTCTTTTGCTTGTAGTTAACACTTTCCTGACCTTAAAGAGTCACCTGGTGACCTACAGGCTGATGGATGTGACAATCCACTGTCAGCTCACATGATCCTCTCCTTTGCACTGTCCCCGCTGCAGGTGGGAGCTCAGCTGGGGATTTTCACCTCCACAGCACTTACAGTCACATCCCAGCCGACAAAAGCCGAGGCAGTGACAGGTCACAGGTGACTGTGAAGAAGGCTGGTGTTTGAGAGAGTCTTCTTGCTTGATGTTTCTTATTAAGCAGGTAGCTCTCCTTGTAAACAGGTCACTTGGGTATCTAACACCCAGGTGACTTGCAGGCAGTTAATGCAGAGCCACCAAGGTGGTCCTTGAGTTTGTAAAGCCTGGGAAGCTCAGAAATCCAAGTCTGCCCTCAGCAGATGAAACCTCTAATGGCACATTCTTTACTTGCTCATCTTGGATGAATCAGGACAGCCTTGGACAAGAGCTGTCCTTTCCAGGCTGGGCAAAGGCAGGGAGTTGGCACAAACTGCTGGAGTGTTTGGACAGGATGTTGTGTTCTTCAGAGAAGTGTCATTGCTCCTGTCTCTGCCCTGTGATCTCTGAGGGTGGAGAGCACTGTCTGGTTTGTTTGGGGACACAAGGTCTGCCAACTATGGAAGAGAAACAGAACTGACAAGAACAAGGCCCTGTGCCAGCCTACGGCATCACTTTTGATAAAGCATGACACTGCTTTTTCTTCTTTGTGAAACAACTAGCAAAAGCATTTAATCTCAATGGAGACAGGCCCAGGCACATCAGGAGTTCATGAATTTGTCTGTTTGTATTTTTCTGCCCTGAAGTGGCATTAGATTTTCCCCATCAGAAGTGTATTTCCAGCTTGTCCAGTTGCTAAAACAGTTGAGAGGAAAGCAGCCTGTCTCACCTCTTACCTGGGCTCTGCTAGCTCACCCAGAAAGGGGGCTCTGAGGGCACAGAAAGGGCTTTAATGCAAAATTTCCCTTTCTCTTCCATGTGTTAGGCTGAAACTCACTGTGAAAGTGCTGCCACATGCAGTTCTGAACTGCTTTCCCAGTGTGCACGTGAGTGCTGTAGCTGCTCAGCAAATGGTGACTTGGTTCTGGGACTGGGGAGTGCGGGAAAGCTCCCCGCTAACCAGGGGTGTGCAGCTTGTGGGATGGAGGGGACTGGTCTGCTGCCAGCTTCCCTAGCAGGATAAATCTCACTAGGTAATTGCAGTGCACAGAGCTGCTCCATCCTCCAAATGCTGCTCCTGCAGATGTTGTCTCTCACTGCAGAAATCTCAGCCTACTGGTGAGTGGATGGCCCTGCACACGTCTGGGTGGAACAGGTTCTTTACACAGACTAAGATCAAACATCCTGTGGAGATACTTGTAAAACCTGTAGAGCCAAGCAGAGAATGTCATGCTGAGAGTTCTGATGCCTGCAGGGAAGGGGCAGCCCTCCAGCCACCCCTGCCTTGTCCAGAGCCACTGTGACTGTCACAGCGTCTCTGTGAGGGGCTGCCAGGGCCCAGTCCTTGAGCCTGATGTCGTGCTTGTGATCAGTCATCAGCTCAGGGAAGCCAGCTGGTCCCAGTTTGACCTACACCCACCCAAACTGGTGTTACCAGAGTGGAGGAGGCTGCCCTGTCCCCCTGCAGCTGCCATGAAGCAGGAGAGTTAGGCAGACTTTCACTGCCAGAGACAGGAGGACAGGAAAGCGTCCCTGGCCCCAAACTGCCCCCACCTGGGCCACTGTGAGGAAAGCCTGAGGGTTTGTGTTAGAGCAGGCTAGTTCTGGCTCATCATGTTGGGTCCTATTGAGGGTCCTGGAGCACAAAGGACACAATGCATGACAGTGCCTGATCTCACTGAATGTGCAGCTCTGGGGGCTGCATGTGGAGCATCCACGATCCTGTATGAGGAGCCCTCTGTTCCCTCAGTTTGGGCAAAGATGTGACATGTGAGATGTGTCATTCAGCTGAATGCTAAAGGAAATCCTCTCACAGCAGCGGCCTGGCAATGCTGATTGCTGAACAGTGGGGGCAGAGGGAAAGGGGGGATCTTTCAAAGCAGGGCTGCAAGGTAAGGAAAACATGGGGACATCTGTGTCCTCAGGTGGCCCAGCAGGCAGTGCAGACACTGGAACACATGGAAAATGGGGTGGGGCCTCATTAAACTTAATGCTCTCATCTCAAAATCACCATCATCAGGATCTATGAGCTTGATCCTGATAACAAGTTGATGCATCAAGCTGGACACCATGGGGGCAACGGGGAAGGGAGAGGAATGAAATGCTGGTTGGGAAAGCTCAGTGCTCACCAGAGGCTGCGTTCTGGCTACAGCATGGTTGGCACCGGTTAAAATAGGAACTCTTCTGGGGTTGTTTTTCTCGTTTCTCTTCTCTCAGGAAATCTTGTGTGTCTAAAAATTGAGATCCTCTCACTTGACGAGGTCACGGGGGGCTGGCCCGCAGCCAGGCTGGGTTCCCAGGCTGCTCTGCCCATCCCTCCCCGAAGCCACCACTTCCTCCAGAGCGCTGCTCTCGCATGGATTTCTGCAGTTCTGTGAGGGGAGATCTGCTCCTCTGGGTGCCTGCTGCGTGCTCTGCTCTCAGGAGGCCGTATCGTCTCAAGACCTGTTGCAGTCTCCGAATATAAACCCCCCTTTGTTGGGGAGAGGTTGACTTGACTGAGCCGCATGATCAGTCAGGTGACAAAATTGGGCACAAAAGCGGAGCAGAATGAGCAGCTGGGTGAGGGCATTAGCTGCTGATCCTGCCTCTTGACAGGCTGTGTTACTCCTCAGGGAAAAATGAGTGCCTGGCCCTGTCTTCTGCTGTGGAGCTTGACCATGGTGTGTTTAACAGGTAAGTCCTGACACGGGGAGAGCTGTGCTCACGGCTGGCTGAAGCCACCATGGGCCTGTGGGAGCCCTGGGCAGGGCTGGGGCAAGGCAGGGCAGGAAGGAAGGAAGTGTTGGTACACTGGCAGTGTTGGAAATGGGGTGCATGCAGTATATACAGAAATCTGCTCATACAAGAGGAAAAGAAAAAAAGGAGGATTAGAGCTGTATTACTCTGCGTATTGAGGATTTGCAGAGGCTTTATCTTAAACCCCAAAGAGCAGGATGCCTGTTGGTAGCTGGGAAAGATCAGCTCTCTGATCTTTCAGAGATCAGCCTGACATCCTCAAGGCTCTTGTTCATACCAAGGTTCCACATGCAAAATAACACATCCTTCAATTTTCCCTGGAGATACTTTGGATGATTCACAGTGCTCCTTAACAAAATACTACTACTACTACTACTACTACTACTACTACTACTACTACTACTACTACTAAAGTCTAGAAAGTAAAATCGCTGTTCCATGATGTAGACAGTGTAAATGCAGGAGAGAAAATGGTTTGTCTGATGAAGCTGAGGTTGTTTGAGTACTGGTTTTTCACACCTGTGACCGACTATAACTGATAAAATACACAAACACTTTACTAGTGCTCAAAACTATTTTTTTCAGCCTGCTGAAAACTTCTTTTTTTCCTCCAGAAATTGTTAAGTTACTAAGAAGTACTGGCTACCAAAAGGTTATTGATGGATACTGAAGTTTTGCAAACAAGTGTATTACTTCCAGTAACATATTGTAGAAATCTACTTTCCATTTTAAAAAAATTCCTCTTAAGAGCACCACCATTTGGCATTAAAACCAAACAACCAATGAAACATATTCAACTAAAAAACCCCAACAACAACAAAATTCATCCAGCTGTGGGCAGTCCAAGTTGTTGAAACCTCTGCAGTGTCTCTGGCTGGCAGAGTTGAGCTGTTGGGGACAGGAGGGAGCTGTGGCAGATCAGTCTCTGATCTCAGAGGTCATCCTGAAAGTTTTTCCCTGGGAATTTGACAGCACTCTTAACTTAGTGTTTATGTTGGGATCAGTTTAATGGATCTCAGGACTGACTCAGTTTGTTGCCAGAGGTGAGGAAAAATCAAGCAGACTGGCTTCAGCCCCTGAGGCAGGGAAGTCAGATGAGGGGAATTGTGCATCTTGGTTCTGGGTGGTGGCATGGCCACAGTGGCAGTGCCCTGTGTGGGCACTGTGGAGCTGCTCTCCCTCCCTTGGACCAGTGCTGGCACCTCTGTCCCTTGGATTTGAGCCTTGGGCAAACCAGCATGTTACAAACTGATCACTGCAAGATTTGGTGTCTCTGTTTTAGGGCTACAGATAGAAAATGAGATTTAGTTCAGTTGGTGCTGAACATTATTGGCACAGTGCTAATAATGCCAAGGTTGTGGGTTTGATCTACATATGGGCCATTCACTTAAGAGCTGAAGTCCATGATCCTCTAGGTCCCTTCCAACTCAGACTATTCCATAAATTCTTTAAAACCTGGGCAGTGGCTCATATGGCTGGGAGCTCCTCTGCTCTACTCAGTAATTACACCAAGATGGATTTTGGCACAAAGCAGGCAATCATCAATAGGAGGGAGCACTCCCAGCAAACTGTCTCCATGTGATCACAACCTTATAAAGACTCTTTTATCCATTGGCCTGATCCTGGTGCAGAACTTTAACTGGAGCTGCCATCAGCTTGGCCTGTTGATGTTGATGTCCATACCATGGTACTGAGCACTGGTGCCCACCGTGCCTGGCCTTGCATGGTGGGTACAAAATTGAAAGAGAAGTTAAAGGCTGGGGGTGAATCAGGGCTGGGGAAGAGTCTGCAGGGATGTGGGTCTGACACCTGACAGCTTGTGCTGTCACCCATCTTGTCACCTTTCCCATGATCTTGCCCTCACCTAGATCCTGCTGTCGGGTGTCAGCTGCACTCTTTGACCTCCTTGAAAACCACAAACCAACTTCTTAGGGGTCCTTGTGTTTTCTGTGCCACAGGGCCTGGATTGCCAAGGGGGCTTAGCAGGTTTGTGCTGCTTGGGAGAGCATTTACACCCCACAGTATCAGCTCCAGCTGCCTATTGGTGCTGTATAAGGTTGAGTGTTTTCAGAAGCTGCAGTAAGTACTGAGTAAATCTGCCCTGAGTTCCTGAACCCAGCTGGTGGCACAGCTGCTGTGGCATAAGCTGCCTGTTTTGGCTTTGCTTTTCTTCCTTTTATTAGTACCACACTGCTAAATTAAAAATTACCTGCTGTTTTCCATGCTCAGTTCCATGGGTCTCTCCTCTGTTAGACACTGGAGGACATTACCCATGCCTGTGCCCAGGGATGTCTTCCATCACCAGATGATGTTCCAGTCTACCATGTACACAGCAAAACAACCTGAGCTACAGGAACACCTCCTTTCTCTACAGATTGCAGCAATCCTCACTCTGAGGAGGGATTACAGAATTAAAGCAACTCTTGGCCTGCAGGTTCCCTTCTGGTTACTGGATGTAGCACCAGAGAGCTTAAAAAAACCCCTGAGCCCATCTTTTCTTGGCAGATCTGTTTAAGAGAGATGGGATAAAGCAGTCAGCTATTTGATAATCATCTTAAATCAGATTGTCATGAGATCTCAGCATAAACAGTCTCAAGGAGCTAACAAAACTGACTGTTTCAGACAATTCTCACACCATCTCAGACCTCCATTGGCATCTACTTACTTGTGGCCTCATGGACCCACTCATTTCTTTCCTTGGTAAGTCTCTGATGTGCCAGACATGCTCAGATGCTGCCTCAGATCCTTGCTCTGAACACAGCAGAGGGGAGTTTTCTGGACATCAAACAAGCCTATGTGGTTTATGCAGTTGATAAAGACCAAAATGAGAAGCCATCATTAAAGGGAGAGCAACAATTCAGCCACTAATTATGTTTTTTCTTCTCTTAGGTATTGCTTTAGGCCAGATAACCAGCACTGAGGTTCCCATTGCATCAACCCCAGCACCTCCCAGTACAGCCAGCACTGAGGTTCCCATTGCATCAACCCCAGCACCTCCCAGTGCAACCACTGCTGCAGCCTCTGCTCCCCCAGCTGCTCCTGCAACACTCTCAGCTGGACTGACCCCAACCACTGCAAACCCTGCTGCATCCACATCAGCTCCATCTGCTGATGCAAGCACAAAATCCCCTTCCCAGACTCTGCCCACCACCATGGGGACCAGCCCCACCTCTGGCAGCAGGGCTGCCTCTCAAGGGTCTGCAGCACTGACAGTCACATCCAGCAGTGTCCCAGCGTCCCCTCCAGGAGTGACCACATCCCCTGGGGTCCCAGCATCAGCTCTGCTCCCCACCACCCCCCAGCCCTCCAGCTGCAGCACAGTGAATGTGACAGCCTGTGCCCGCTGCCCCCCTGGGACAGTCCCCACCCAAGGTAAGGGTCCCTGCTCCCACCTTCTGTGTCAGAGGGAAAAGGGATTTGTCAGGGGAGGTGAAGCCAAAACTTGCTCTTGTTGGAAGCTTGGACAGGCAGCAGGAGAGGGACTTAATTCATTTCACCCTTCTGAAATCAAAGATGTGGTATTTCCTGGCCTTGTGCTGTGTTTTGGTCTTTCTGAGGCTTTCCCAGTGGGATGACAAAGTAGTGGGATTGTGGCACAAAGTGTATCACAATTACAGTTTGATTTATTGGCAGAAGAACGTAATTTTGGGGTCCAGGGCCAAATACAAGGTCAATTTCCAGCTGTCTTGAATGTTTGAAAGAGAATCTGCTGTAGAGGCAGCCTTTTACGGTGGCCTTGAGAAAATCCTTGATCAAGTTCTGCTGTGGTCAGCAGTGCATAATATAACCTTTCCCAGAAGTTATTTTTTGTAATGTGGTTGAGTTTTGATTTCAAACACCACCACCCCATCCCACAAAAAAAAAAAAAATCTCAAAAAACCAAAATAATTCTCCAAAATACAAGCCATGTACTTTTTGCTTGTTCCCTGCACTGCAGGGCACTTTTAAAAGCAGCTCTGATGCTTTAGGGTGAATCTGCAGAAGGCGGGAGTTCTCTGACCTCCCTTTTATGCAGGACCTTCTTTGACAGGGCCTTCTCTTGCCTGTGTTGGGGTGCAGCTGCAGTAAATCCCACCCAGTTCCTCTGTGTGGCTGGGATTGGTTTTGTGGAGCAGAGAGGGGCAGAACTTGCCTGCTGGGAATACATGCCATGTACCTGTGCTCAAAGAAAAGCTGCTGCTGCTTAAGGCAGATCCTCGACTCTGGGGCTTTACTTAACAGTTCTTTTTAATTTAAATTAATTTAAGCTTCCTACAAGCTTAAATCATCAGTAGTCTAAAGAAGTATACTGGTTTATTTTTGTTTTGTTTTGTTTTTGGGGTTTTTTTTAATATTTTTGTGTGTTGGAGGGAAAACAAGGAAAATTTTCCTGGACCCTCAAATTAAAGAAGGAAAAAGCAGTCAGCGTAATTACTGGAGATCCACACGGACAGCCTTGGCTCCCTAGATCATCTTTTGGCTGTTCTGCAGCTTGCTAACAGTGGACAGCAGCATAATTAGCATGAACATTACAATTTCTACCCTCTAAGAGTGCCTTGCCAGAGAACTGCATCCCAAAAAGCTTCTGCCTTTGTGGCAGTGACCTGTCCTGGCAGACACAGAGGTTTCAGTCAAGTCTGATCCTGACTTTTTGTTCCAATTTAGGCACCTTGAGCTGCTCGTGCTGCACAGGGGGCTCGTGTGTAGATCCCAGTGCCTGCAGCCCCTGCCCACCTGGCCACTACCAGCCCCAAAGTGGGCAACCATCCTGCCTGCCCTGCCCACAGGGGTATTACACCAGGTGAGTGACTGTGATACACCACAAACATTTCCCAGCTGTAGAAATCTCTTCCTTTGGGCTGTTGGAAAAGTGCTGCCAGGGCTGTTTCTCAGAGGCTGAATTCTCCTCATCAGGAAACCTTGGTGTGGATGTCCCTGTGCTGGGGGCTGCTCCTCTCTGGGCTCTCCTTTTGTACCACCCTGTCTTTTGTCTGCACTGAGGGAACATGTTGCTTTGTGCTGGGGAGACAGGAGTGAGCTGTGGGTTCACCTCCTCAGCTTTTCTGAAGGATGTGTCTGACCAACAGGCTCCATCTCCCTGCTTTTCCCAATGACTTTCTCAGGCCCTGTTTTCTTGCCCCCGAGGCACCTCACTACATTTGAGTCCCTGACATCTAAAGCAATACCCTCAGCTGATGGAGTGTGGAAAAGCTGACAAGACATCCCAGCCAGGAGCCCAGTCCTGCAATTCCAGGGCTCACCCAGGGCTGCCCCACCCAGGGATGCTGTTCAAGTGTCCTCTGGCTGCGGGACTTGTGCATGTGCTGCTCTCTCCATTTTATCGGATTTTCTCTTGCTGTATCCGTGTCTGCAGTGAGCTGTGCCCTTTCTGTGGTGGCAAGGACAGGAGTAGGGGCAAGAGCCTCCCCAGGACTGTGTCCATTGCAGGGCAGCTCCATTTGGATCGGTCCTGGGGACTGGCAACAAAATCTGGCTGTAGGAAGGGTGACCTGACTGTGCAGATTGTTTGCAGCAGCCCCTGAGTTTGAGGTGCCAGCAGGATCTTCCTCCGTGCTCCCCCCTTGCAGTTTGTGCTGTGAGAACCTGCCTTCAAAATGTACCCCCATATTGTTTTAAAAACCAGTCAGGAGCAGTCTCCAGGGCACACAGAGCTGCTGTGCTGGGATGTGGGAGAGGGTCAGGCAGCAGTGCTGGGTTGGTGTGTGCCAGAGCAGGGACCAAAGGTGGGGGGTTCTGGAGGGCACCTGGGGGTGCAGTGTGTGCATGGCCATCTCCTGGTGGCTGCCTGGGCCTCAGGGCTTCAAAGGTGCCATTAAACATTTCTGTGGTATTTGGAGAACTCGGCCTCCCCGCAGCTTTGAGTGGCTCTGGCAGGCCAGTTTTTTGTTGTTTGTTTGTTTCCAGTTGGTTTGGGGGTTGCTGGTTTGGTTTCTTTCTGCAAATCTCATGCAGCCCTGAAGTTTCTGAAGGAATCAAAAAGCATGTCCTTGTTTTCCTCCAAAGCATCTCTGAGTATGTTATCAAATTCCCATACCCACATACTTGAGGGGATTTGGCTCTGTTAGTGATGAGTGTAAAAGCTTTCTCTTCCCCTGACTTTGCCTCATTTCCTCCCCCTCCTCCTGGACATTTTGCTTCCTTTTTCCCACAGTCCCTGCTATTTAAGGTCGGGGCTCTCTCATGTCACTGTCTGTGGTTTAGGTCCTTTTTTCAGCTCCTGATTCCCAGCAATGGAGCAGCTCCTTTTGAAATCACTGATGGATGCTGCACAGCAAACACCTTCCCTATTCCATTTCCAAGAGTGGATTTAAGAGTCTGACTTTAAGCCAAGGGTTTTAAGCCTGACCACAGCGTATTTTTCAAGACCTTCAATTCAGATGGTCCCTTTCCATATTGCTCACAGGCAGAGGGCATCTCTAGTGTTACTAATACAGAAAACTTTATTTTTTTAGTGGACCTTTAACATTCAGGTGAGTTCAAACTGATGTTTTTCTGCCTGAACTCTTTTTTCATAACTGCTCCATTTCTAGACTTGTCAGTGTCATGTTCTGCCCTATCTTCTCCAAGTGGATAGAGGCTTGGGTGACCTAAAATTGTGTCCCACTCTGCTCCCTTCCCTCCCAGCTTCCCAAGGAGCACTGTGTGTCTTCCCTGCCCACCAGGACATTTTGCTAATGAGTCTGGGACTGCAGCCTGCAGAGCCTGTGAGCAAGGTAGGCCTTGATTTGTGTTCAACCCAAATGCATTTTCATCACATGATGCTTTTTCCCAGGGCCAGATGTAATTACCAGGTAACTTAAAAGCACTGAAGGGTAACCAGGTTAAAAATAGCCCAGATCTCTTACCTATTCTGTTGTTATTAAAATAAAAAGAGCAGATCTCAGCCATGCTTCCATGCTTGTTTTTGCAACAAGTTAATGCTAACTCTGCAATGAAAGTCTGGAAAAAAGTTTTATGAAATTCAGTTTTAGGACAAGGGGGGAGCATTGTCAGGAAAATAAAATATTCTCTATTTCTGATAGCAAAAATTAGTCTAAACCATCTTTGTTTTCATTTAGACAATTTTCTGCAGTCTGAATATTAAGTGTAATACTCTCTTTATTTTCCACACGTTCAAACTGGGGTTTCAAAAAGGAGCTGCTTTGTACCTGGCTAATGCCACTCAAGCTGGTACAATGTGTTTGCAGACAGGGTAACAGCATGTGCAGAACAGAACAGCACTTACTTATGCAGAACTCTAATTAACACATGCAGTGCAGCAGCTCCTCTGCACCCAAAATGGGGTCCTGCTTGAACATGCACAACTGTTCCTTTGAAAATCCACCCACCGAGCTGCTGGGCTGTACCCAAACCTTGGCTGTCACTTGCTGAGTCTGGGAGGAACAAAATCTGACTGGTGACAGCGATGGGGTCTGTCACTGCCTTTACTCAGCAGATCTGAACACTGTGTTAGACAACAGGGGAGTCTGTGGGGGTGGCCCCTAAATCCTGCAAGTATAAATGTAAAAAAATCCTTTGCCTTGCAGGGAGAGGGGAGATGGGTTTGGTTTCATCCTGCTCTGCCACAGCCTCTGCTGCCAGGTTTGAGGCAGATCTTACCCACACCATGTCCAGCTCCTCTCTGAAGCTTAATTCTGTCCCATGTGGGCAGTGACCATGCTGTGCATCATCAGGCACCTCCAAACCCACCTGAACTCCCAAGTGCTGCTCTCTCAGCTTTCCTGTTGGTGTGGTGAGACTCACAAATTGGGTCCTGCTGGCCCCTGGGCACTTTGGGACAATTCACTCCTTTTTGTGCCTTGGGAAGGGTCTGTACATGTCCTCCTGGTCCTGGTGGTGCAGGGATGGAGGCTCTGCACCAGCAGAGCCACCTTGGCTGGAGGGTCTTGTGTCCTTCCTTTTGCAGGGAGGAAGATGCACCCCAGACTTCCTGGGGTGGGGGAAGGCCTGGAAGGGTGGGGTGACTGGAGAGGTTTCCCCTGGTCAGAAACCTGTTCCAGCTGAATACCTTGGGAGCTGGCACTGGGATCACCTATTCCAGCTTCATTCCAGTTCAGCCTGTGGTGCTGGGAAGGGTGAGAGGTTTCTCTGTCTCCTTGGTGTGGTTTTGAGCGATGTGAGATGTGCCACTGGGGCATCTGCCAGAGCCCCCCATGCATCCCTCAGCATGACACTATGCACCCCAAAAATCCTAAATTAACCCCTGAAATGCCACCTGAAGTGTGCTGTGGGGAGTTGTTTGGTTACTTGTAAAATGGGCACAATCAAATACAGAGCAGTGTGGGGCAGAGAAGTGGAGGCAGGACCCTGAAGCCTTACTCTTCTCCTTTTCAGGCTATTTTAGCTCCAAGCAAAATGCAGCTTTTTGTCTGCCTTGCCAGCCGGGATCATTTTGCAAGTAAGGAGCCTCCTGGGGTGTGGGAGCTCAGGTGGGCAGGGAGGGGGGTTTGTTTTAGCCACTGAGCTGGAACCAGCAGTGTGGTGCTCAAAGACAGGTCACCAGCCATTTCAGCTGCAGGATGGGGCTTCAAGCAAACCAGTCAGGTATCCCTGACCATGGCATGGCAGTTGGAATGAGATGATCTTTAAGGTCCCTTCCCACCCAGACCATTCTGTGATTCTATGAGAATCTCACTGGAGACAGACACCCACAAAACAGCAAAGGTTCCTGGCTGGTGTGGTTGACTGAAGACTCCAGTTTATAAGAGCTGGTTTTGGTGGGCTGGTTTGGTCTTGGAAGTGCTCATTCTACAGCGTGTCCTGCCTCCTCTCCCCTCCCAGCACCAGCAGCTGCTCGGCCTGTCAGTCGTGCCCCGGCGGGCAGGAGGCTCCTCGGGAGGCGTCGGAGCGCTGCGAGCCCTGCCCGGCAGGTAACTGCAGCCAGAGGAGAGGCTGTGCCCGGCTGGGAACACACAGCTCCAGTGGCTCACTCCACTCATCTCATCCAGCCCAGGGCTGCAGGTCCCTGCAGAGCAGAGCTGTGCCCTGGCAGTGAGGGATGGTGCTGGGATGGTTTGACTGGGTGCTGTGCCACACCTTCCCACCAGGATGGTTAAAGGCTTGGAGCTGTGCTGGGCCCTGGCGTGCCAGAGAGCCCAAATCCACAGCTGGGTAACAGCTCCAGCAAAGAGCATCTCTGTGGTGGTGGCTTTGCTGAGGAAAGCACAGCCTTGCTCTCAGAGATGGATGTTCTGCAGGGGCAGAGGGACGTGGCCGTGCTCCTTCCTGTGCTGTCTGAAGCACCAGGCAGAGCAGGTGAGCCAGCAGGGCTGGGCAGAGCTCTGGCAGAGCCCGTGGCAGTGGGCAGCCCTGCATTTTAAACATGCAGGAAAGCATTTTACCACTCTGAGACTTGGAACTTCTGTGACCCGTCTCTCCCACAAAGCCTGGGAAACTGAGCTGTGCTTTGAAGTCTGCTCAGCAAGTTTCAAACAGCTGGAAAAGGTGTTTGAATCCAGAATTGGAGAGGATGAAACACTGCTGACCTTCAGCTCCTATCTTCCCTCTACATTAAAGCCAGAGCTCACTACTAAACCCCTCTCCCACTACTCCTACTCACACTGCTCTGTTTGCTGAGGTCTGACCCCAAATATTCTTTAGTCCCTGTTTGTTCTGTTCTGACCCTTTGCCCCCAAACCAGGACCAAAGTCCAGGCTCAGCTTTTGTTACGCACGTGAGAACTTAATGCTCTTTCTCCCTTTGGCTTTGAAAGCTGATTCATCCATAAGCAATTGCAAAGGTCCTGGGGTTTAGTCTCAGGCCTTAATATTCTGCTTATTTGCTATTTAGGTACATTCAAGGGTCCCGGTGATGACAGATGCAAGGCCTGCAGGACAGGAGAGTACCAATTACAGCGGGGCAAGGAGAGCTGTGACCTGTGCCCAGAAAACCACTACTGCCCTGTGAGTCCCCATCAGCTGGGGGCAGCCTGTGTTAACCAGAGCGTTCCCATGACAAGCTAAATACACTGCAATTAGCACTTTTTTTCTTTTTTTTGTAATCTGAGCTTCCTTTATCTTAAACATAGACAGGGCTCTGATGCAGGGAGATGATTAAAACTGTGGTTCCAGGAGTGTGGCTTTGTGCCTGAGCTGCCTGCTCTGACTGGGCCATGAGGGGATGGTGTGTGCATTAATGAGGGGGTTTGATGTATTAATGACACCCTCTGCCCTTCCCCATACTCTAACACTGCAGGGGCAGGCAAGACTGAATAATGATGACAGGTTCATTCCTTTATTTATTTTTTTTCCTCCTAATGCTAAAATGTTATGTTCCTTTGCCCTGGTTGCCTTCTGCAGTTTGTTGGTGCTGAGTTACTTCTTCTCTTGGGCAGAGCCCAGATGTGAACCCAGTCAAGTGCCCTCCTGATGCCTTCTGCCCCAGGGGCAGCGTGGAGCCCACCTACTGCATGGAACTTTTCCTGTACAAGGCAGGGGACTCCTGCCAGCTGACCCCTGCCACTGTCATTGTGCTGGCCACCTTCTCAGCAGGTGAGTCTGGGTCCTCTCTGTCCTCTGGTGAAACCAGGCACCCCTCTGCAGCTCTGTGTTGAACCAGGCTTTCTCTGGGTGGTGTATTTTGTGTTTCTGGAAGGCTGGATTTCTGATGAAAGCCCTTGTGGCTGCTCTCAATGCCAGTGAGTCCTTTCCCTTGCTCTGAAGGAAGGTGGCACAGTGCTGAATGCTTGTTGTTTGTCCCTGGGAAGCACTGGTGTGTGTGCACCCTCAAACAGGGATTCCTTGGCTGCACAAAAGTAGGAAAAAGGAGAATTTCCTTTTGGTATGAGACTGTTTCCTGAAAGCATTCCTGCCTAAAGTCATGCCACAGCATCCAGCAGCATGGGGAGCTGCTGGCTCAGTGTTGGTTGTACTGATGCCAAATGTACCCTGTACCCAACAGTCAGGACCTGCTGAGTGTGGGGAGCATCCCTTCAGATGCCACCTGCTGTAAATCAGCTCACTAGGGCAAGCTAATGAGTGTGTGAGTTTTGCAACTGGGAAACTGCACCAGGAATTATTGTTCCAAAACAATAAATATGCATTTTTAGTCTCAGGAAAGGGAAAAGCAGAGTTCTCTTGTTTTTAATCAAAGGTGGGGGGAGGTTTAATCAGAGTTATGATGAAAATGAGCAACTTTTACTGGTGTGGATTGCAGAAAGGGCAGATGAGGAAGGAGGGAGGAGGAATCTGTTTCCTGTGCCCAGAGAGATGAAGAGCAATCCCAAAGTGCCCCTTACACTACCAGAGATGAAAATCTTGTGTCAAGAGAGCAAAGTCAGAGATGAGTACGCCATCAGAGGATAAAGAATATCCAACAAGCCTCTTATTCAGTTTCTGTGTTTCAAGTGTATTTTATGTACTTCCTGAAGATCCATTCTCCACTTGGCTCGCTGTTGTTAAAAGGAGGGGAGATTAAATGCATGTGTTACTCCCCACTGTGAAAAAGACACAGCTTCTCCAACACCAAAGCAGAGCTCCCATCACACTGATCTCTTGGCAGCTGAGGAGGGGACTCCACGGATTCACGGGAGGAGACAAGGACAGCAGGGTCTGGAGGAGCTCTAGCAGCACCCTCTGACTGTCTCCATGGGGCTGGAATGCCTGGTGGGAGCAGATGAGGGTTACTCTCACAAGCTGTGGCTCGGCGCCATGAGAAAGCTCCTCCACTGACCCCTATCCCCTCACACCAGGCTCTTGTCCAAAAATCTGCCAAAACAGATGCCATCTGAAGCAATTATTAATTTGAAAAAGTAGATTAAACTCAAGTATATGAAAAGACTGCCCAGAGAGGGACAATGGCCCATTAACCAGCATTTGTGATAAACAAGTCTGAGGGTCAGGGAACAGCATTCCTGCCTCTCCCAAAGCTTGCTGCAAAGAGGGGGAAAGGAACCAGCCCACGCAGGAACCCGCGGGTATTTCACGGCTGGTCTCACAGATCAAGTGTTTACCATGAGACTTGTCTGCTCACACAGCCGAAATTTGGGTGTATTTGTCTGGCCATATTGCATCACAGCGACAGATTTGTGCTCTTCTGTTCAGAGCAATTTTCTCTGTTGATGCTTCTGCCAGAAACAAACGAACAGAATGTCGCAGTACTTGAGATTTGCCAATTACTTCCATGTCTATGCCCAATCCAAAAGTAATTTTTCCTGACAGCCCTGATTTCAGTCTAGACTCAGAGTTAATCTAGGTTAGTTACTTCTTGTGCTTCAGTGTAAGCACCGCACAGGGCAAACTCATTTCTCAACAAGATCCTTTTGGTGGGGTCTGCAGTGAATAAGACGCCAAGTGGAAAACAGTTCCAGAGAGCAGTGAGTAAACGGGAGTAGGAAATCGAGTTACTGAATTATTTCAATAAAACTTGTTGTTATCCCTTGCAGCTTCCAGAGTTAAGCTGAACTGCTGAAGCTGAGTGTTACTTTTGCCAGTGGAACCTTTTTTCTTCCCTCTCTTTGGAGAGTATGTAGGAGAAAAAACTCCCTTATTTTATCAGAAGGGAATACCTGAGCTGAGAAGCCTTGGAGCAAACATCACCTGTGTGAGATTCAACTTCCCATCTGTGAATAACTACCCTTCCTTTCTTTCATTCTTTCTAGGTGGAATCATTGTTGTATTTCTAATAATTCTGAGACAGCGGCAAGAGCACAGCAAGAAATCCTTGAGGTCTCTGTTGCTGCCCCGGGGCTCGGGAGGACACCCCACGTACGGGGGCATGGAACACACAGAGCCAGTCTATGCTGGCTGGTAGCACAGGCCACCAGCAGCAGCCACCTGCCTCTCCCTGCCCTGGGGCAACACAGATGTGGTTCTGGGCAAGATGTTTAACCACAAGCAACCTAGTTCTGTATAGCTAAAATCCGTGCTGGGAAATAAAACTCAAGGTTTTGAGTTGTGGCTACTTGTGCAAACCAACCCAGCTCCCTGCTCTGCTGCACTAGGCTAATGGGAAAAGTCTTCCCCTTCCAATTCCTGGCTTTATGCACAAGTAAATACTTTTCTTGTTTCCTCAGGGGGAAACCCCCCCCAAACAGCAATCAATCATACCTGTTTCTCCATTTTAATAGCTCAACAGAGTAAGGATTGACTCCTCCAGTTNAGGGACTGGTGCACACAGAGCAAAGACAGGCTCCTGCTCTTAAAAGTCACATAACCACCCTGAGAACTCCAAACACACCTGGGAACCTCTCTAGATACCGTGGAGCTAGTGTGTGGCACAGGTTCCCTGAGATCAGTCAGCAATTCAGTATGGGTGCTGGGCCTGTGCTGAGTCAGTGTGCATCAGCTATTTGGGTACAGCAAGATACAAACATGCATTTTTTTAAAAGAATAATGTTATAGGCAGGGGAGGGCTGAGAGAAAAAGCTGCTCAATCCATCTCCCCAAAAATAACAGCTGGGAGGGCTGAGAGAAAAAGCTGCTCAATCCATCTCCCCAAAAATAACAGCTGGCTCCAAGGTGAACAGGAGGCTGTACAAGTGCTGGAAAGGCCCTCTCTAGAGGTTCTCCATCTTTTTCACACTGATTCCCAGCTTGCCTTCTCTAGAACTTTCCACTTAATTTTAGGGATATAGGAAAGACCACCTGGCTATTTCTCTTCATTTCCTCTGGGTGAGGAGTCTGCAACAGGGAAGACCATCCTTTCCCCAGGAATGTGGGCAGTCCACAGTACCCTCCAACATTATTTTAGGTGCTATTTGAATTTGTGATAATGTACAAGCTACTTCTCATGCCCACATCCCAAAAATGGAAAGAACAAGGGAGAGCCCTTGGTTCCATAAATATTTTTATCCTTGAGAGCAGTGTTCTCTCCTCAGAAAACAGGTATCTTTAACTTCATTTCCCACTACATTCTGGAAATTGCAACAGGAGGAAGAAAAAGGGCATTAGGTGAGAGTTAAAAGAGTAAATTTTTCAAAGCATAAATTCCTGCAATGTCTGTGCTAACAGTGCACTTGTGATAGGCTGATGCTGCTAACATGAGCAGCCACCTCTCCAGAGTTATTGACCCTGAATCACTGTGGGGCAATGGGTTCACATCTAGGGAATGGGGCTGTCATACGAGGAGATTTTTTAATAAGCAATTTGAAATAAATAGTTTCTCAAGATTAAAAACGAAAAAGTTCTCATGGATTTGTATCATCTTTACAATGTAGTTGAGGCAAAGAAAGCTTTTCTGGTAACGTTAGATGACGTATCCTTTTGACAGAGAGGTACTAAGGTTTTTTAGGGTGTTTTAAAAAGCATGCACTATGCAGGCAGACAAACGTGGCTGCAGCATCCTGGGCTGTTAAAACTGAATTACAACTTTCATTGGAATCTTCACTTAACTTCTCCAACTCCTTATTTTTTTCATACACTGTCCTGGAACAAAAATAAATCCAGAGAAAGCACTTGAAACAATTTATGTACTGGTGTGAGAACAAAACAAGCCTACCATCCCCTGTTGGTTCCAGTGGGTTTTTAGAGCCTGAAATGCTCCCACTTGGCTCAGCTGCTTTTGTATTTAAACTTGAATGGTTCTGAGTCAAAACCAAAGAACATCTGTTTGGCAGTTTTAAAGCTAGAAGCATTTAACATTTTTCCCTTGATGTGCACAATTTGATTCACTGCCCCGTTGCACTGAGGCTACAGGAGGGGTTTAATGCATGGTTTAGAAGACAGATTGGTGGTGTGGGACACCCGGGATGGCCCATGGCAGCCAACAGTGGCAGGGCCAGGAGCCACAGCCCCTTACAGAGACGTTTGTGAGAGGCTGTAGCTGTCAGCTCCTGGCTCAAACTGAGTTCTGAGCTCAGCAAGAGCTGCTGCCTTCCAGAGAGGCAAAGTCTCCCATCAGCTAACCAGCTGCAGGACCTTGCTTCCTTGGGAGGCAGGATTGCCTGGTTCCAGACAGGTTTCCTTTCTGAGGAGAGAAAAACTAGTCACTTCCAGACCAGCAGTATAGTTCCAGACAGGTTTCCTTTCTGAGGAGAGAAAAACTAGTCACTTCCAGACCAGCAGTATAGCCCTCCTTATCCTGAACCTCAGGAGTGTGTCTCCTCATTATTCTCCTTATTCCCCTCACTTAGACCCGCCAAACTGCTTTTCTGCTCCGGGTCTAATAAAAATAAAAATAGAAATAGAAATAAAAATAGAAATAAAAATAAAAATAGAAATAGAAATAGAAATAAAAATAATTAAAGCCTGTGCATATTCTGGAATTTTAAAATTTGGGGAGAGAAGAAATTATTTAGCAATAAATAATTAGCAATTATTTAGCAATAAATTTAATAATAAATTTAGAATAAATTTATTTAGCAATAAATTTAATTAGCAATTATTTTTTTAGTTTGACTGTTTCTACTTAGTCAATTATTTTATTTATTGCAGAAAATGTCAGACGTATGTTTTTTTAAAGGCTGTAATTAAGCACAGTCAGGAGTTATTAGATTATTCAAAAAGCCTGCTGCTTCTCATTAACTAATAGCAACTACCAAAACAAAGTGGATTTTTATAGACCAGGTCTAGGTATAAGTGTAAAAGTATATTGGAGAGCAGAGGCACACACTGTACTTAGACATCTCATCTTCATGCTATAGAATGTCCTATAATTGCCAATTGGCAATTAATTTCTGCCAAGATGGAGCTGAAAATTGCCACTTTCCAAACACTGAAATTACCAGAGGATTAAACTGTTACCTTTTCCATAAGAATGGCCTTTGAAGATTGATTATACCATGAGTCATCTTGTATCTTGAGATCAGCTATTTAAATTTGATGCAGGTTGTGCTTTTTTTTGCTCGCATTTTCTATCTAGGCAAAAAAGAGGCTGGATATTGTGGTAGGGAATGTTTCTCAATTCATGAATTACGGCTCTTCTACACAGTGTTAAATTGCAAATATTATTGGAGAAAAGGAGAAGGGTATAAAGGCAGCAGAAATAGTAACTTTCCAGAATAAAGAAAATACCATTTAAAGACCACATTTTCTGAAACAGACAAATGTTAAAAAATACCTTTATAACACCAGCAAAAATAAAAGCCATTAGAAAATGTTTGGATGCTGTTCATGTCACACCATACTATGTTGACATTTCCATTTGACATGTAGACTTGTCAGTTTTGATCATAGCTGTGAACTACAGATGTTTTTTAAAATACAGGCCAGAGGAAAGTAGATTCCCATTCAAAACAGAACCAGTGCTGAATGTCTGTTCCAGGTCTAAAAAGGACTGAGATTTACAGTCATATGGACAATTTTCCAGCTGTGCTAATGAGGGAGTGAGAGAACATACTGAGGTGCTCTCTGTTCTTTGTCTTTCAAGCTGGTTTTGAAACCACCAAACAGAAATAATTCCTCTGTTTCTAGAGACCAGCTGTTCAACAAGAGGTGGAAAATGAAGGGAGCAAAGGACAAGCAGCTTTGAAATCTGCTCATATTGGCATGGCTGAATTATATTAACATATCACCTGGCTGACAGCATGAAATAAGACAATTCACAGAGGATTTTCCCACCTGTCCATTTCTAAGTACATACAAGAATATTAATTATACTACCCTTTTTCTATCTCCCCGATGATAGACATAAAACCAAGTGTAGCTGGTGGGATGCATCCTTCATCTGAGTAAGAGACTTGCAGTGGCTGGGGCTCACCACAAAGTCACAGAATGGGTTGTGCTGGAAGGGACCTTAGAGATGATTTAGTTCCAATCTCCCTGTGTACTATATAACTCTAGAGAAGCTTCTGGGCTCAGACTGAATGGCTGCTGAGGCTTGGATTTATGTGAGTTTTTTTATAGGCATCTACAGAGTTGGAGATTAAAAGTGAACCTGAAGTTTTCTGTAATTACCAGATATTTTCTTATCCTTCCTGCACACCTGTTCTCCAGCTGATCAGAACTTTTACATCCTCTCAAACTGAAGGGCTTTGTTGACCCTTGTGGTAAAAACTCCCCAGCGCCTCAGGAACAGCACTGTTAACTCCACCCAACACCCCAGAGAGTGTCCCTGACAGTGCTCAGGTCACAGAGCAGCAGGGAAATAATGACTGAGTCTGGAGTCTGAGCATGGGAAACCAGTGCAGAGAGCAGGAATGAGTTTGACATGCACGTGGACATTTGAGTTGTTAAGGACACACACTGCAGTGCTCTGTAGCACTTGTGTTTCCTGAGGACTTGGGGCATTGTGCCAAGTACCCAACACCCCTGTAGATATGAGAGCAGCTTGTGTTTCAGAATGCTTTCCTCCACCTACAGATCTCTTTAACAGCCAAATGGGAAATGGGTGTCTCTGGGCATCTTTCCAGAAGCCTCTGAACTGGTGCCTTCATGCAGCAAAACTCAATGGGTACATTCACATACTTTTCACCTTGGTATCTGCACTACATGAGACATTTGCCTCACCTTTGCTGCTCCTTTGGATGCCCACTGGCCTTCTGTCTATTTACCAAAGCAGGATGTACTTGAGTAGGAACAAAACTGAGTTAAAGTCTGACACAGCATTAGTATCTGGCAGATACCAACATTATCTGCCTCAGGCTTTTTAACAATCATTAATGTTAGCAAACGCGTTAAGCTCTATAGGTAGATGTCCCTTCTGAAGTTTGGCCACTGAGCTGAAATTTAACCTTTCTTCACATTTCCAAAAGCCAGTTGGGCTGTGATTGAAACAATGGAGTAAAATCACCCGACCTGGATCTATTCATGTTTCTATTTAAAGGAGATAAGGAGTTGATTTTACATAAGATCTCATCAGTGCTCCTGAGTCAGCATGATTGGAAATTAAGACATCTATGCTTATCTTCTCTAATAAAACAGTCTGAAAGCCCACATGCTGCAAGATGCATCCCTTCATGTTCTAAATTGTTGCTATAAGCTTAGCTCACTTATTTCACATTTTTTTCAGTCTTACTTGA